GGTGTCAGATTGGGGTAAGGAAGGTTGAGGTATGGTGAAAGGTGGGTGGGATAAGTGTTTCAGTGTTTTTCTTCTGTATCTGTGGTGGGGTAGGTAGGAAAAAATGGCGCTCTTTACAGTCAAGCTACATCAGCACCCGGGGATGGGATGGTCGTTTTTTTGTTTGTTTGTTTGTTTTAAAGATTTATTTATTTATTGGAAAATCAGATATACAGAGAGGAGGAGAGACAGAGAGGAAGATCCTCCGTCCAATGATTCACTCCCCAAGTGAGCACAACAGCCGATGCTATGCCGATCCAAAGCCAGGTTTCAGGAACTTCTGTCTCCCACACGAGTGCAGGAGTCCCTCGACTGCTTTCCCAGGCCACAAGCAGGGAGCTGGATGGAAAGTGGAGCTGCCGGGACCAGAACCGGTGCCCATATGGGATCCCGGCATGTTCAAGGCGAGAACTTTAGCCGCTAGGCCATGCTGCCGGGCCCGGGATGGTCGTTTGATGGTGTCTTAAAGACTGCAGTGTGTGGAAGTATGTTCCAAAGATGTTACTTGAGTGGATTTGATAGTCTGAGATAATGTCAGTTGCTCCAGGGTTAAGAAAATCTTTTTAAGGTCTTTTGGTTGGCGACATGTACTTTTTAGTGCCTCCGCAGATTCAGCTTGTCTAGGACAGTTAGTTGTCTGTCCTGCTCCACTCTCTATGCTTTGACTAGGCACTAGATATCCTCTGCTGGCCTAGATGAGCTGGCTGCCGTGTGCTTTGTGTGCATCTGTGTGTGCTTTCCCACTGCATGGACGTCAGGAACCAAGGAGGCCCAGACCTAATTTGTGGTCAGGGTTTGAGTTAGCAGTCTTGTTGGGGAATGCTCCGAAAAACCTCACCTAGGAGGACTTCAGGCTTGATTCTTGTGGTGTGTGCCAGCTAGTACAGAGCCAGGTTTGATTTGTCACCTGCACCAGCAATGCATATACTGGTGATGCAGCTGCCTGGCCAGTCCCTGGCCCCCCCACCCTCCAGTTATATCTTTCATGTGAACTTTTGGGTGCTGTTGCCTAGCCCAGCCCAGCCCAGCCCAACCCGTCACAGGCCCTAACTTCACGCACACATGTGGGTGCTGCGGGCTAGTCAGAACGACCCTTAATAATCCCACCAGGCCTGTTCCAGCCCCGGTTTTTGTGTGTGCTGGCATGTGCTGTGGTCTTGCCTATTCTGTCCTATATCCTTCTCAGCTCTCATACACACATGTGGGTGTTGTGGTTTAGCTCAGAATGTCCCACCCCTAGACCTGGCCCGCATATATGCTGAAGGGCACTGCTATTTTGTCCAGCCTGGTCCACCCCCAGCCCTGGCTTCCATGCTGCTGCCTAGAAAGGGAGTGCCCACAGGTCCTCTACCAGCCCCACTCCCAGTCCTGGATCCTGCATTTGCCAAGGGGTACTGTGGTTCAGCCTGACATGACTTGCATAGCCCCATTAATTCAACTGAGTGTTTTTTCTTAAAAAGTGATTTATAGGAGTTCTTTATATATGTAATTCTTTTATTAAATATATTTATTGCTAGTATCTTCTTTCATTCTGTAAATAGTCTTTTCATTCTACTTAAACAGAAGTTCTTAAATATAGTTTTAACTTACTGTGTTTTTCTATTAGGTTAGTTTTTTTGTGTGTGTGTCTTATTTAACAAATTTTTTCCGGTTTCAAGTTCATGATGTTGTCATCACATTATAAAATTTTTATTGTATTGCCTTTCACGTTTAGATCTATAGTTCTTCTGGAATTTTATGTGTATGTGTATGAGCTAGCACCGTTTCCTGACAGCATACTTATCAGCGATTGCACCTTTGTTATAAATCAGGTGATTGTATTTGTGTGTGGTTCTGATTCCATTATTCTGTCTGTAGCTGCTCCAGTACCATACTATAATCATTGAACTTTTTGCTCAGTCTCTGCTGCTGGTAGTTTCAGATCTTCCGGCATTGTTTGTCTAGATTGCATTGCTTATTCTTGATCTTTTGCATTTTCACTTTATATCACACACATACACACACACAAGGTCAGCTGAAATTTGATAGGATTGCATAAATTCTACACATTTGTTTATGGAAAATTGATGTCTGTTGTGTAGCAGTAATTTTAAATTCAGTCTTGACAGCCTTACTCTGCTTTGCTTTTTCTTCACTTACCTGGTAAGCCTGGCTTAACTCAACTGATTTATCTTCTTTAATTATGTCCCCAGACCACTTAAGAAAATCAGATACTAAGTTTTGATTGATTGTTGCTTAAGACTCTAGTGCTACAGTTCTTATTTCTGTTAGTTCCTTTTCCCTTTGACTTCATCAATTGTTCTAATCTTTTATAGCTGCCTACATAAATTCTCCTTGCCAGTCCTAATCCTGTTCTTAGTTGATTTATATCTTCTGAGATATCTGAGAGCTAGTTATAACAACAGACACTTAGACCTCGTGAGAAGTGTTGATTCTGAAGGCACTTGTTTGGAGTCCTTAGCATATGTGATGCTTAAAGCGTTGAATATAGATACACTTGCTCAAAAACAAGGAAATACATGAAATAGGAGGAGAGAGAGGAGGGTTAAGAATATGACCCTGGGCCATGTGGCTCCACCCCATCACCCTACCAAGGACCCGGGCAGAACTCTCAGAATATGTACACATTGAGACTCTGGGTTGATATGTGGTGGTGGTTCCTCATCCCTGGGTACTGGGAGGTGTGGAAAGTCATGAGTGGTTTCCCTCTTTGTCTCTCTCCTTTCCCCAGAAACAATAAGAAGAAATAGCAAATTTGGAAGCAACGATTTCACCCAATTTTCCCTAAACCTTGGTCCTTCTCACCCTGATTAACCATGTAATCGTTATAAAAAACAAAATTTATATATTAAAAAAAATATAACCCTGGGGAACAAGAGTGATTAACAGTTGGACTGAGAAGCAAGATAACATGTTTGATGAAATGAGGCCACATAGGTTGGAGGAGAAACAGGAAAAAAGAGGCATGCTGGAAATCAAGGAAGAGGATATCAGCAGTGGTCAAGAGGGTCAGGGATGCATAGGAGACAATAGTATAAAACCTGAAAATAGGCCAGTGAATTTGGCTAAGACTTCAGCAAGGTCAATGGTCATGAATAGAGAAAGTGGAGATGATAAATACAGATGGCTCTCAGGAAGAGTGTGATGGGAAATTGTAAGAAAAAAGGTGCTGCCGTTGAGAGAAGGTGGAATTGGCATTTCTTTCTTAACATCTGTCGCTCAGAAGCAACCTCTGCAAAATCAAGCTCTTCCTACTGCCTTATCTGCTGTTTCGTTTCTTAACTGAGTACTTTTTTGCCTAATCAATCTGGAGACTTTGGAATATCCTTTGAATTCTTCTTACATTCCCCCAACGTAAATGATAACCGTGGACTTTAATGTTGTGTCAGGAATGTCTCTGCTGTTATTCCCTCTCTTCACCTCTTCTGTTGCATTGGTTTGCCTGAGTCTCCTCTTTCCTTGATGTTGCAATGACTTTCTCCTTGGTCCTTCATAATTGCCCTGCCTTCATCTCTTCCTCTACCCTCGTTATTCTTTATACTGCTTCATGTGTCTTAAACATGATTCCTATTATGTTACTCCACTTGTAAAAATGCTCAGGCATTCCCTTTGCTTACTACTTGTAATATCCTAATTCACTAAGAGAGTACCAGTTATGGGCCAGGTATTGTACTGGGCACCAGCAGTACCCTGGTCATTCAGGTTGACACAGGCCCTGCTGACATTTAGTGTAAAGGAACATAAGGCCTTTTACATTGTAGACCCCAACTTACTTTTCCAGGATGTTATCTCCAGTGTCTACTTGTAAGTTTCAGTCATTCTGGACAATTTTTTTTTCCTTTGGGTATAGTCTGTTTTATGAAATTACTGTGTTGGGTCTGCTGTTTTGGCCTAGTGGGTAAAGTCCTTGCCTTAAACGCACCGGGATCCCATATGGGCGCTGGTTCTAATCCCGGCAGCTCCACTTCCCATCCAGCTCCCTGCTTGTGGCCTGGGAAAACAGTCAAGAATGGCCCAAAGCTTTGGGACCCTGTACCTATGTGGGAGACCTGGAAGAGATTCCTGGTTCCCGGCTTCAGATTGGTGCAGCACCGGCTGTTGTGCTCACTTGGAGAGTGAATCATCGGGTGAAAGATCTTCCTCTCTGTCTCTCCTCCTCTCTGTATATCTGACTTTGTAATAAAAATAAATGAATCTTAAAAAAAAATTGCTGTGTTTACACATTTACAACCTAGAATGTCTTTCATCTGCTTCTTTGTCATAGTTTTCACAAACCATTTGCAGAATCTAGTGATACTTGTTTACTTCTAATTAACCCTAAGTTATTAGTTATCTAGAAAAACATCTATATATGTATTTGAATTTTAAGAATTATTCTGGGGGATCGCATGGTGGTGTAACAGGCTAATTCTCCTGCTGGCTCTGGCATCTCTTTTTTTGCTGGCTCATGTCCCGGCTGTTCTACTGCTAGATTGGTGTGGGAAAGCAGTGGGGCCTGGCCCTAGTACTTGTACCCCTGCACTCACGTGGGAGACCTGGCAGAAGCGCCTGGCTCCTGACTTCAGATCAGCTCAGCTCCAGCCATTGCGGCCATCTGGGGAGTGAGCCAGCAGATGGAAGATCTGTTTCTGTTCCTTTCTCTCAGTAGCCCTGACTTTCCAAAAAAAAAAAATTAATAAATCTTTATAAAAAAAAATTATGTAGCCAATAGTCTGTGCAACTGCTCATGCTTCATCCTGTACCAACTAGGAAATTTGGGGAGGGAAATCTTTGTAAAAAGGGGTATGTGTCTAGAGTTGAAATTTAATTTTATATTTGCCTGGTCAGTAAGAATACACAGAATAGAGTAAAAAGCAGATATATGCACTTGAGTTTTTTGGAGAAACCCATTATCACCTACCTGACTTGTCTCATAGAGTATTTGAAATTTGGATTTATTGATTTCTTTTCTTCCAACTTAGACTGATGATGAAGATGAGTCCTTTGTTCTTGAGGATCCTACATTGTTAAACATCGATGCTATCGATTCTCACTCTTATGATACTTCATCTGTGGCAAGCTCTGATAGCGGTGACAGGACCAACTTAAAAAGGTAGGTATCTTATAGTGTGGGTTTTCAGTACAGCTGTTAGGGTGCTGCTTGGGAATGCTTGGGTTTGAGTCCCATTTCTAATTCTAGCTTTCTTCTTATGTGTGCTCTAGGAAGTAACAGAAGGTGGCTCAAGTACTTGGGTCCCTGCCACCCATGTGAAAGACCTGAGTTGAGTTCTTGGTTTCCTGGCTTCATCCTAGCCCAATTCTAATTGCATGTATTTGGGGAGTAAACCAAAAGATGAAAGATACTGATTTTTCTCTCTCATCTGTATACCTTCTAAATAAATAAATAGAGATATTCATGTAAATTACACTTGTGTATGGTTGCAATATTTGATCTCTAAAATGTAAATATCTCTGCATAGTACAACATGGTCTATTGAAGCCTTGCTTGAGAAGTAGAAAATCCACTTGTCTGGAAAAAATGTGCTTCCTTGATCCTAGTGATTTTGACACTGTTTTGAGGGAGAAGTGTAAAGTTAGATCCCATGAATGCTGTCTTCTGGATCCTCAATAAGAATCTGTGCTGCTAGTCAGGGACTCACAGTCACAGTGGAGCCTGGGAGGAATAGGAATCAAACCCAGCACAGTGTGTGTGGTGCTGACATGGAGCTTGCTTTAACTCAGCACCCTCTTGTTTCTTGCGCTCCTTGCCCAAGGTCAGCTCCTGCATTCCTTCATTCGCTTGGAGTGGGTTCAGAGGAGAATCACAAAGATGATTAAAGATTTGGGAAAAAGACTTCTAACCCTAAATAACTTCAATTTTGGCTGCTTTTCACCTTCCAAATTCTTGGAGAGAACATGAAAAGAAAAGAGAAATGGAGGAACCATAGTATAAGTACTTTATTGAATTCATGTGTTAACTTTCACATTGATAAAGTTATCTATGTATTGTTCCTCTTAAATCTGGCCTGAATCAGTGCTGTCTTCTTTAGATTGCCATCTCTTGTGTGACGGGCCGTCACTGCCATGTTAAGTTACTCCACACTGTCTCCTGTAAATAGATAACTTAAATGTTTCTGACGATCTGGTTGCCACTTGCCTAAAAGTTACGATGTTATCTTGTTGGCTACTTAATATAGCCAGAATTTCTTTTTGTGACATCTTTTTGTGAATTCTGCTTACCACTTTGACCTAGTATCTCAGTCCTAGCCCAGGCTTTTTATGTACTCTTTTGTAGACCCACTGTGCACCTTTACATCTCTGGTTTATTTACTTGTACTTTTTGCCTGACAGACTTCCATCAAAGCCTAATGAGGATGTCATTTATCTAGCCAGTCCTGACATCCTCCAAATAAGCAAGATTGAACACTTTTACATTTGCATATGTATCTCTGCCCTCCTCATGTGTAAACATCTATGTACACACGTGTTTATGTTATGCTTTATTCCTATTTTTTAGTTTGACAGTTGTCCTTTCATGATTACTTTAATGCTCTTCTTCCTCTTTTTTTCTAAAGGTCTATTTTATTTTTATTACAAAGTCAGAAATACAGAGAGGAGGGGAGACAGAGAGGAAGATCTTCCGTCCTATGGTTCACTCTCCAAGTGAGCGCAACGGCTGATGCTATGCCAATCTGAAGCCAGGAGCCAGGAATCTCTTCCAGGTCTCCCACTTGGATGCAGGGTCCCAAGGTTTTGGGCCATTCTTGCCTGCTTTCCCAGGCCACAAGCAGGGAGCTGGATGGGAAGTGGAGTTGCCAGGATTAGAACTGGCGCCCATATAGGATCCTGGGAGGCACATTCAAGGTGAGGACTTTAGCCACTAGGCCATGCTGTTAGGCCACGCCACCGGGCCCACTTTTATGCTCTTCTAGCCAGGCTCTGAATTCCTTGGCAGTGGGAACTCTGACTTCCTTATTTTTGTATCCTCAGAACATATTTATGTCTACTGAGTCAGTGTTCAATAATGTTTTGTAAAAGTTTAAAAATTACTTTGTGAGTGATGATTAGAGTGTATAGATGAAAGCATTGGAAGGAGCAGCAGAGTGAGAAATGAGTGGGGGACTGAGAAGTTGATTTGAGGAATAAGAAGGAGGTCAAGGACAGCAAGGGGACCTAGGGAGGAGGAGTGGTTTGTAGAGAACAGTGGAACCCGTGGCTGTTTTACTGAAGGTAGACCGGGAATAGTTTACCTCGGTGAGAAAAGTGCTGCCATGAGCTTCAAGTTGGGTTTAGTACCACATCTTCATGTAGGAGTCTTAGATTCTTTACACCTATTTTAATACACAACCAACTAATTAGATATAGTGTCAGTTTCTGCTTTCCTTGAATCTATAGGCTTTCTTCTTTGAAAACGTTGGAACCCTGCCTTTTAGAATTTTTAAAATCTGTTTTTAAACATTTTCCTCCTTTTTTTAGGAAGAAAAAATTACCTGATTCTTTTTCACTCCATGGATCAGTTATGCGACATTCCCTTTTGAAGGGAATTTCTGCCCAGATAGTGTCTGCAGCTGTAAGTATTTTATTTTTTTCCCCCAGCTTCATAACCTGCAATGGCATAATGAAGTAGGAATGAGCATAAAACAAAGCACAGCTCTTCTCTTGGCCCAAGGCTTAAGAAAAATAGAATCTGGCTTTCATGGTTTTTGTGTGATTATTTTTGACTCATAAGAAAGACATGGCTACACATCTTGACATAGAAATTAGTGCAGCCATGAAAATAAAGGTCTGCTCAGAGTCTCCGGTGTGCCTAAATGAAATATGGCAGCAAGCCTAAAAGAAACACTATCTGTTTTTTCTTTAAATTCCTTTTCATTTGGTTGCCATCTTGTATATTTTGAGGTAAAGTGCTTGTTGCTTTGTGTTTTCATATGGAGGATGAAATGATTTTCCTGCAATTTATAAAAGTCTTTTCATGTACCTTTATTTCATTTACTCACACACCTTGGAAGTCGGTAATGCCATATTTTATTTTATAAATGAGATAAGTTCAGAGAGGTGATCTGAGTTTGTCTCACTCACATCATTCTGTTTAAAGAAGTAGCAGACGATTTATTCAAGCTTGGGTTTTTTGCTCCAAATCTATTGCCCCTTGGTTGTGAAATGAAGGTATTATTGGTGAGTACTTCTGGTAAATAACAATTGGAATAAAATATCTGTCCCTTTTTGAAGATGAGTGCGAGCACTAGATCAATCTAAAAATATTTAATAGTCCTCTAGAACACTGATTAAACTTTTTCCTTGACTTTTAAAAATATTTATTTATATTTATCACAAAGGCAGATTTTACAGAGAAGAGAGGCAGAGAAAGAGAGAGATAGAGACAGAAATCTTCTCCCTGCTGATTTATTTCCAAATGACTGTGATGGCTGGAGGGGAGATGAGCTGATGCAAAACCAGGAGCCAGGAGCTTCTTCTGGGACTCCCATGAGGGTGCAGGGTCCCAAGAACTTGGGCCATTTTCCACTGATTTCCCAGGCTACGAGCAGGGAGCTGGATGAGAAGTGGAGCATCCAGGACATGAACCAGAGCCACTGTGGGATACTGGTGCTAGCAGGTAGAGGATTAGCCATTTGAGCCATTGTGCCGGTTCCTTTTATAGTCTTTTAATTCTAGTTTTCTGAATTCAGTGTATAGTAGTAATTGCAATAGTAATAATGACAGATTCATACTTCACAGATTTTGATATGTTTTTATGTCCTTTTCATGGACTTTAATTGGTATTTTCCATACTCAATTTGGACAAAAGGAAAAGTTTTGCTTTTCTAAAAGAGCAAGAAATTGATACAGCAGTGGCATCGTGACACCACAATTGCATTGCAGCTTTCAAGTTTATCCAAGAAAGCTCTTATTGCAGATACCAAAGGGAAAAGCCACTATGGACAACTGGTGTGTCCTGACCCAGCTCATATATCATGAAGTCAATTTAAATAGAAAGATGGTCAAGCAATGGAGGAAACCCGGGCAATTGTCTCTCCTCTTTTAGGTGGAGAGTAACTCATATTTGTTAGAATGAGAACCACCTGTTGAGGATTATATTTCCATGACGTTTTCTGAATTTAATCCTTATGTAGGTGATGAAATTCATTCCTTTCAAAATCAAGATGAACCAGAACAGTCATTTGACCCACCTGTGCAGTTTTAAAAATATTTTGAATAATGGAGACTGAACTAAAACTCAGACGCTGAGCAATGATTAGATAAATCTGTTATTTAAAAGGGTTTCTCCTCCCTCATGCCGAGGAGGGGGAAATTCTAATAAATCCCAGAGTGTTTGCATTCTGTTCTTATTTCATTGCTATGGCTGAGCTCCTTTGGTATGTTAAAATGAAAACTGCTTTTCCTGTGACAGTCATCATATGGTGCCTTCCTAATTTTGGATTACCAGCTCAATTTAAGTTGCATGCTTCTCTGTGATGGTTGGTTTATTAACATGTAAAGCTAGGTACATTTTTGGATATTTCTCCTGAGCAGTTGCTCACTGCAGCCTTCAGCCACGTGACTAAACCCTGTCACTGCGGGCCCGCTGAGAACCTTGATCCTTATGGCGTGGAGGCCGTGAATGGAAACACTTGGGAGAGATGAAATTTTTGGAGCTGTGAACCACATTGCTTCATTTTAGAATCCTTTTCAAAGTAATATGACATGTGACTACATTCAGAATTAATCTGAACTAATTTTTTAAGCATCTTTATCATTTTAATATTCAATCTTAAGATACTAGGGGTGTCTTAGCACCATGTTTTTGTTTGTTTGTTTGTTTCAGAATGTACCCAATACGTAAGAATCCCTTGGGGAGCTTGTTAAAATACAAATTCTTTTTTTTTTTTTAAAGATTTATTTATTGGAAAGTCAGATATACAGAGAGGAGGAGTCACAGAGAGGAAGATCTTCCGTCCTATGGTTCACTCCCCAAGTGAGCGCAACGGCCAATGCTATGCCAATCTGAAGCCAGGAGCCAGGAACTTCTTCCTGGTATCCCACATGGGTGCAGGGTCCCAAAGGTTTGGGCCATCCTTGACTTCTTTCCCAGGCCACAAGCAGGGAGCTGGGTGGGAAGTGGAGCTGCTGGGATTAGAACTGGCACTCATATGGGATCCCGGTGCGTTCAAGGCGAGGACTTTAGCTGCTAGGCCATGCCGCCAGGCCCAAAATATAAATTCTTGGGGTTGACTACAGACCTACTGAATTGGTATCTTTAGTAGGGTAGGGTAGGGATTTGCACTTTAACAGGCATCCTGGCTTTTGAGAAGCTCTACCCGAAGATCCTGCAACACCAGTAATAAAAGTGTGTTATCTCTAAAATACTTCCCACATCTGTGCATTTTTAGCTTTTGAAGTCAGGTGACTTCTGATTTTAGTATTCTGGTTTATTTTGGATATAGTTTATGTTCTTCATCTGGTGCCTCATTCTTCTTTTTCCCTGTCCAGGACGCAAATCAACTATTAACCAGATACTTACTGTGTGCTGCTTAACTGTCAAGCATTGTGTTAGGCATGCTTGCCAAGCAGGCATGCACACACGCAAAGTTGAGCATGCACTGTTGCCCAGAATGGTGGATATATAATGGCTGTCTTGCTCATTGTTCTTTCATGTTCTCTGTACACTGCAGTATAACTTTGTTACTTGCTCGGAAACACTGCAAAGTTGGCTAAATAGACCCTGGCTACTGAGCAGTTATAATAGTGGACCACACTGACAGGGTCAAAGAAAAGAAAATGTGTGGGAGTGATGTATAGGCCTGCTGGAAGTTCAGAATTTGAGACATTGCTGAGTAACCGTGGGCAGGCCGGATAAGTGCTTTGAGATTTCTGCTTTATTGATCTGGAAAATCTGATCTTGCCTGTCTTATCTTCCCAGGTTTGAGAATCAGATAGTGTGATACAGGGGGAAACTTCAAAAAGTTAATGGAAAAGTAGAATTAAAAGATGAATAATTTTATTTTGATGCGAAAGAAATTCTAAATCCATGTTTACTAGGAAGAAGTCTTCAAAAAGTTCATAGAAAAGAGTATTATGAGAAGGTTACACATGAATCTCAAAATATTTTGCACCAAAGTAAACATGCATTTAATTCTGTTTTCTCTAATGTTTATGAAGTACTCTGTATTCTTTGCTACCACGGTCCTGTATCACTACAAGCTCTTACTATTGTTTAAGGCTATTTAAGCATTAAGTAAATTCTCTTACATTGGCTTAGTATGCCCTGCTGGGGTTTTATCTAAAAGTTATTGGATAATCTGCCATATAAGAAGCTCCTGGTTAGCAGTGGGATATCTTTAGCACATGCTTCCCTTTCTTCAAAGCTTGGCGTGTACCTACCACTTAGTGGTACCTACCATTATGGCCACTTAGTTCATATGGTTTATTCACATTTTAGCGAGTGGAACCTCTTTCCTATCTTGTTTCCTTTTACATTTCCATTTATAATCAGTACCCTTTCTGAAGCATCTGTTGCAGTTACTAAAATTAAATGATTCACTTTCATGCTGTTTGTATTTTGTTGATATTGTACAGCTTTTGTAATTTCTCTTAGTTGGAGGCAAAAGAGAAAATTCAGCCTCTTGTCTGAGTTGATTTGGATCAAAGTATGTGTAAAGAGAGACTCTTATTCTACTTTATTTTAAAATGATACTATGTTTTCCAATTCTCTCTCCCCTCCCCCCTTAAATTTCATTTAGGACAAAGTAGATGCTGGCTTGCCTACAGCAATTGTAAGTATATTTTAACCTGTTAGAGGTAGGTTTTTTATTTGATTGGTGTGTCTTAGATTTATTTTTATAATGTTCAAAATTACCATGCATATTATGAGAATAAATTCATGAGTAATTTTATTGCCAGTAATCAACCTTAAAATTTGTCCATGTTGAGCATTTTCTTTTTAAATTGTTTCTCTTTGGGCTTTTGTTGGGGAAAAAGATGATGGAATCATGATTAGCCTTTTCTGGGTTGATTTGTATGTGGTACCATCCTGCTTGAGTAAATGTGCTCCTTCTGTGAGTTGGCCTTCCTTCTGTTACAGGGGATGGGAAACGGCATTCAGTGAAATCACTTTGTGGTAAATAGTACATTGAGCAGTTCTGCAGTCCACTGCCAAGCCTGCCAAGTAGTAAATCTGTGGTGTGATTGTAGAGAAGGGGGAGGGGGATATTGAAAGCACACTAATACTTGCTTTTCTCTTTCTCCAGCTGCCTCCTGTAGCTTTCTTATTAGTCAGTCATTTGGCGAGGAAATGGGCTGAGTTTTGAGCATTTCTGGTGCCTGTTGACTCCTGTGGAAAAACTGGAGAAGAGCATTCTCTTCCCCACATCTTGTTGGAGGCTCTTAGTTGGGTACAATGAATGCCTTTACTTTCTCTGGACCTTTTTTTTTTTTTTTTAAAGAGTTGCTTTAGAGGAAGCTGAGTGGCATGTTTTGTGCCTATAATGTTGAACATATGATATTTTGATAGTGTTTGCCTTCCAGTAAATTTGAGGGATTCTCAGAAATAAAATGTCCTGAGTTTCATTTCCCGTTTTGCCTCCTAGATGAAACTCTCTGTAGTTATAATAGTTGGTATGTCATCTGGTGCAGAGAGGAAGGGAGGCCAACAAATTCAACTATGATTATTTCAAGATCTTTGATGTAATATCTGAAAATATCATCTTCCCTTTTGTTTCAGGCAGTGTCCAGTCTCATAGCAGTGGGAACATCTCATGGACTGGCTTTAGTATTTGGTAAATTTTCTAATTATTTTCTTACTTTCAGATGGTAGGTTTTAGAATGTTCTTTAATCACATTGTACACAGTGAACTTTATTTTCCTGAATAAAGTCAGAAAGACTTGAGAAGTAGCAGACAGTATATTTATAGTTAAAAATTACTTGGCTCCCAGCTTCTTTTTGCTACTCACTGAAAGTTTATTTTCTTCCTTACAAATTTATAAGCCATCATGTGTACTAACTTCCTGCAGATGTAGACAAAAAAGAGTAAAGTTGAACATTGGGTAGTCATCCTGCCTGGTGCTGTTGGTGGTGGGGGTGGTAGTAGATGGTGTGGTGGCGATTGTAGGTGGGGTGTTGTGATGGGTGGGGTGGGGTGGATTGTAGTGGTGCTGGATGGGGTGGTGGTAAATGAGGTGATGTGGTTGTGCTGGGTGGGGTGGTGGCGGGGGTGGTGGTGGTAGTGGTGGTTTAGGGTTCTAAGTCACATCCCAGCACTGGGTAATCTAAATGAGCTTTAGGAAAAGGGTTCTCTGAGTGTTCTCTGTAATAATCAGGACCACTGAATGACAGGATGCTCCTTTTTCGTTTCTATTGTAAGCCCTCCCGCACTGAGAATTTTTTAGCCCGCAGTCCCATTATTTTCTTGGCTGAGAAAGAGAATTTAACAGGTTTTTATTTGTATTATTTGTATAATAGAGGTATTTTCTCATTTTTTTTCTTATGTGAAACTAACTGGTTTCTTTAATCCTTTTCAGTATATGAGCCGAGTATTTTGTTCTTCTTCTTCTTTTTTTTTTTCCACTTAAAAGCGCTAGGCAATGACTGTGCCAGCATCTGTGTTCTCTTCTGGATCTTAATACTTGAGCAATTCAATTCCTGACTGTAATATGCAGAATACTTTGGAAGGATTGCTTGACCAGCTTAATGGCAGAACCCTAATTCTCTCTGGAGCCTTGCATCTTCATTTACCTTATGAGTGGATAACCGATTTTCATTGTTTTTGGATTATTTGAATTCATACTTATGGGTTTTCTATTATGCTGAAAGCTTTACTTATCCTGTATTTGTAACACCTAATCTTTTTAAAGGCTATTGATTTAAAGTAATAGAGATTTCTTATTTGGAGACCAGAATAATAACAAAGATTAATAGTGCTAGAAGAACTTAGAATTGATACTTTAAATAATACTTTTTTTTCTTACTTTAGATATATATTCATAGTAGAAAATTTAGAATATACACATGAGCAAAAAGTCAGAGATATCAAATATGAATTTATATCATATCATCTGTCCAGGAATAATCCCTAACATTTCTGTGCAACCTTTTAATCTTTTTTCTGTAGTATATACATCCCCAATGGGATCATGTTAACTTGCAGTCTATTCATTGTAATAACCATTATTCCAAATGGTTAACTTACATTTGTTTGTAACACATTTATTTGTTTTTTAAAAAAGTTTTTTTTCTCCTAAAGAGTTATTGCATTTATTTAAAAGTAGAGCAGAATAGAGAGAGGAAGAAGTAGAAAGGAGATGTTCCATCCTCTGTTTTCTTCCCCAAATGGCTGCAACATCCCAGGCCAGGCCAAAGTCAAGTGCCTCAAATTCCATCCAAGTCTATTACATGTGAGTGGTACTTACTTGGACCATCTTCTACTGCTTTCCCAGGCATAATAGCAGGGAGCTGGATTGGAAACAGAGCAACCAAAACTCAAAGCAGTGCTCCAACATAGGATGCTAATATTGTAGACAATTACAGGCATATGCCTTAATCCACTGTGTTGTTGGCCCCCATCATTTATTTATTTTAAAGATTTATTTATTTATTTTTATTACAAAGTCAGATATACAGAGAGGGGAAGAGACAGAGAGGAAGATCTTCCGTCCGATGATTCACTCCCCAAGTGACTGCCACGGCCGGAGCTGTGCCGATCCGAAGCTGGGAACTGGAACCTCTTCTGGGTCCCCCACACTGGTGCGGGGTCCCGAAGCTTTAGGCCATCCTCAACTGCTTTCCCAGGTCACAAGCAGGGAGCTGGATGGGAAGTGGAGCTGCCAGGATAGAACCGGCACTCACATGGGATCCCGGCGCGTTCAAGGCGAGGACTTTAGCCACTAGGCCACGCTGCCACCAGGCCCTCCCATCGTTTATTTTTAATAACAGTCTTTTAAATGGATTTGCCATAATCTACTTAACCATTTTCTACTGTAAGATATTCAGATTGTTTCTAAAGAAGGAATATTATAAACAAATGTCTTTGTTACTATGTTTGTGTATGTGATTATTTACTTCAGACAGATTCTTGAGTGTGGAATTGCTAGGATCAGGACAAGAATGTTAATTACCTGTGCTGTACATCATCTCATTATCTGACGCCTTGTTCTCCTGCAGGACATGTTTGGTATCACACTGATAGTTTTGGCAAATCACCTAAGTGCATATATGAGGTGATGGCGCAGAGTTGAGGAATACTGGATCCTAAGTCAGTGTGGTTCCGTAATCTTGAGCAATGCTGTCCTACAGAAAAGGAGATAAATTCCAGGAAATGAAGAACAGAATATGGAAGCCCTAAAGTGAAAGAAGGCAGAACATGATGTGTATGTTTATCTGCTGGCAGAGTACATATTGATTGGCTGTTCCCACTTAACCTGCCAGTGTTTATTTCCTTCAACTCTTTTGACTTTAACATCCCTTCCTTATCAAGAGGTTACAAGAAGTGTAACTGTTTATAATCAAATCCATGTAAGTTTACTGCAAACAAATTAAAGTGAATCCTTTAAAAAAACAAGCTGACAGAGAAGACTACATTGTTTTTTGATGCTGCCTTCTTAATTTCCTTGGACCTGATTTTCTGATTTTTTAAAGACTTCACAGCAGCTTGCTATAGATAAGAATTTGAGTTACAGACTCATGAAAAAACAAAGTATGCCAAAGTGAACATTTTGAGAAAAAATAATAATAGTCTGGTTGGGCTTAGGGTTTTGATAGAGCAATCAGTAAATTTTACTCATTTTTAGGAAGCAAATTTTTGGATAATGTGTTTTAACAAATGAATTAAATATGCTAAAACTCAAACACAAATGGCAGATTACTAGCTGAAGTGTCTAGATTTGCATTAGATCTAGTCTCTTTTAGACTTTGTTAATCACAGGAAAAAGTATAACAGGAATAACTGTATTTGTTTAAGTACCAGTGGGTCCTCTTTGAAATAGAGGCCCAGTTTGTTAAATGTATATTGCCTGTTTTTAGGAAATTGGTTAGATGGTAATTTGTGTATCTTGGATTATGCAAAATCTTAAAGGTCAAATCTTAAGATGTTTCTCTAGGCTGTGTTGAGTCTTTCATAGTTTTGTTTGTTAGTGTAGTATAATAGAGTATCTTTTAGATATTGTTTACATATTGTGCTGTAATTTGACCATATACATCTTGTTGTTGCCTATAACTAGTACCTAAACATGACAAAAAAAAAAGTGCTAGGGGATATCTCACGCATAGCTAAAGCTTGTCAGCTAAGCTCTTGGAATTTTACCTGTCTTTTCTCTGAACTCTTGAACTGATTTCTTGCTTTTCTTTCTCTCTCAATCTTTTCTTCATGGATTCAAAAGGAAAAGGTATAGTAATTTTGGCTTGCATGAGTGATTCTTTTTCTTTTGTCCTCTCTCATTTTGGAAGAGAATGCTATCATTTACAATTGATGTCCTCTTATGAAACGCTTTTGGGAAAAAATAGCTAATAAAAAAATGTTTAATGCAGGTAACAGAAAGACTATCAACATATGTATAATTTCATTATTTTATTCTAACTGAAAAAATAAAGTATCTTCATTTTGCCCTTAAAATAGTTTTTAAAGATTTATTTATTTAGTTGAAAGATAGGTACACACACACTCACTCACAGAGGAATAATTAATGATTTTCTTCATTTCAAATAACTTCAGTGACTGGGCTGAGCTAAGCCAAAGCCAGAGCCAAGAGCTCCATCCAGAGCTTCAGCTTGGTTGCAGGGCACAAGTACTTGAATTTTCTTCCTCTGCTTTCCAAGGTGTGTTAGCAGGGAGCTGGATTGGAAGTGAAGCAGGTGGAACTCATACTGGCGACTTATGTGATGCTAAACTCAATGCACCACAATGCTGACCCTTGTTCCTGTTTTGATGTAGCCTAATGCTAGAATCCTTTTCTTTTAGTTTGTATCTGTCAATTGGAGTTGTTCAGCCTCTCTTTGGACATAAACTTCATCAATAATGAGTCATATAAAATTTGGAGTTATAGTAATTTTAATATGTAGAAACCAAAGGCATAGAAACATTGAAGCATTTGATGAGTTAAAAAAATCTAGATTTTAATGAAGTGTTCTTTCAGTTTTTTACCATTCTTTTTGTCAAGAATTTATTTCCTGACAGTTTTTTGAGGCCACTCATCATTACCAAGTTTTCCCAAGACATTTAATCCCTGTGTATTCTGTATTTAAGTTTTTAAAAACAGTGGCATTACAAGGGCATGAGCAGTTTTGGGAATGAGCACCCAAGGGGGTGCTGGTTTGTCTTGGCTGCTGCATTTCTGATCTCTCTTCTTCTGTTGCACCTAGGAAAGTAGTGGAAGATGGGTTCAAGTATTTTGGGCCCTGCCACTTATGTGAGAGACCTGGAAGAAGCTACTGGCTCCTAGCTTTGGCCCGGCTCATTTTCCTGGCTGTTATGGCTGTTTGGGGAGTGAACTAGCAGTTGGAAGATCTCTCTCTCTCTTTTTCTGTGTCACTCTGTCTTTGAAATAATTTTTAAAAATATGTATTTCTTTATTCAAAAGGCAGAGTAACCTACAGGGAGTCAGAGAGAGAAGGCAAGATACCTTCTGTCCACCCATATACTCCCCAAGTGCATGCTACAGCTGGGGCAGGGCCAGGCCAAAGCCATGATCCTAGAACTTCATGCGTGTTTCCCACTTGGATGTTAAGGACCCAAGCACTTAGACCATCATCTGTCACTTTCCCATATGCATTAGTTGGAAGCTGAATTGGAAGTGGAGTAGCTGGAACTCAAACTAGCACTCTGATATAGGAAGGTGGCTTTGCAAGCCACAAGTTAACTTATTGTGCCACATTCCTGACTCCAAAAATTGTTTTCTGAGATTTCCTTTTTCTTTGGTCTTAGGATAAGAAAAGAACAGTTTGAAGGTGTTTTGAAATTTTCATGGAAGATGGAATAAAACAGGCTCATTTGGGTTCCAAAAATTTTTAAACTCATGCATAAATTTTTTGTAATGTATATTTTTCATGAACATTTTGAAGACTACTCTGTTCATGGATTTCAGCATTTTTTGTAACAAAATAAACTTTTAATTTTGTTTTTAATAAGTTTTTGAAGTACTCCTCTGAATGATAAATATCAGCAGAATAGAGAAGTAGTAAACTGATTCCTCTTAGGAAAAGATATTTCATTCTTTGATGGTATTTTTCAATCTCATCGCAACTTTCTAAGTTTTATCTTTATGGTATTATAGTAACAAATTTGAAATAATTAGAGCAGTTTAGGAATAAATAAACTAGAAGAGTGAGTAAATTTTGGCATGTGAAAAGAACAGAAATCCATAAATGGCCAAATTTAGATTTCAAGGCTATTATAGATTTTATGTGCTATTTGAGTTTTTGTTTTATAAAAAGGATTTATTTCTTTGAAAGGCAGAGCAGTGGATGGGGAGGAAAGAAGAGGAGAGGTTAGGATGTTAGAGCATGTGCATGTGGTTCATACCCTAGGTGGCTCTAACAGTCAGGGCTGGGCCAGACCAGAGCAGCAACCAGGTCCCTAGCTGAGTCTCCCTGTGGGAGGGCTCCCTGTACTTGAGCCATTTCCTGCTTGCTTTCCTAGGTGCATTAGTAGGGAGTTTGATTGGAAGCAGAGTTTAGAATATGTTGGAGGAAATCTACCAGTGTTTTTGGAACATTAACTGGTGAAAGAAATAGAGTTCATTACAATATTAAAAAGATGTGCTTTTTGTGATATCTGGGCTTCAAGTTCCTTTAATTTGAAAGCTATGTTGTTGTCCTTAATCACAGGGTTTTTTTTTGTGTGTGTGTGTGTAGATTTGTATCACCTGATACAAATCTTTTAATTTTTCATAGGCATATTTCTGCTTGTTGATTTTCTGACGTTTTTAGAGGAAGTGACTGTCTCATTTCATGTTTTTTACTCAGGGTCACTGCTTTGTAAGCTGCATTAAGCTTTTTTTTTTTTTTCAGTTTACAATTCCAACCAAATGTAAATCTTTATTACTTTGTAAATGAAGTTAGAGGTACTATTAATTTAATATGTTTTCCCCAATAGGAGAAAAGAAAACTTCAGAGAGTTGGAGTGGGGAGAGTTAGAATTTTTTCTTTTAAATTAATGAGCTCAAGAGCATCCTGGACAGACAGAGCTCTGATTTTCATCTTTCCTGCTTCTTCTGATTGGATCCTTTTGTTCTTTCCATGCAGCTGTAGAATTTTAAGTACTTTGAAAAGGTTTTATGTTTATTTTAGCCAAGTACCTCTTCCCAGAATTGCCTGGAATTACCTGGAGTGTAGTTTGTTTAGTTATGGTTGCAAAGAAACCTCTGTGATTTCTTCTAGCCACAAGATTCTTGCTTTTCTGAATGAGTTAAATGATGCAATATCAAATTTGTTACTATAATACCATAAAGATAAAACTTAGAAAGTTGCAATGAGATTGAAAACATATCTTTGTGGAGGCCAAAATAGATTGTGTTTTATACATAGCCCATTGCCTCTCTCACCATCAGATGTTGCATGCCTTTTTAAAAAACGTGTATGAATGTATCTACAAATTAGTTTGTGATGGATCCCTAAAAATGTTCGAGACATTGAATGGGTTATCTGTTTATTGTTTCACTTTATTAGCACATTCCTCTTGGCAGCACAATGCTATCGTCTGTGCCTTCTATGTTTTATAGATGGTAGGGTGGTTAAGGGGAATTAAATAACATTCCTGACAGTACCCAGACGTGTAGTTACAAGTGCCTTTAACACTCTAGGAGCAGGAGTGGGACTAAGATCCAGGTATCCGGATTCACAACCATGCTGCTTTTCGAGGGGACATTATAAAGGAAACAAATACATTGTAAAAGAAAAATTGAGGAAAACCATGGAGAATGTCTTCATTAACACAGACCTGTGGGATAATAAACTTAACACGTATTCCAGGGACAACTAGTTTCTAGTGTGTTGAACCATAGGAAAGCACAGTTATATTTGAATTTTTTTCTTTCAGAGATTTTATTTGACAGAAAGAGGGAGGGAAGAGGAAGAGAGAGAGAGAGAGAGAGAGAGGGGAAGAGAGAGAGAAAGAATCTTTCATACCCAGGTTCACTTTTCAGATGACTGCAACAACCATGACTGAGCCAGGCTGAAGCCAGCAGCTTTTCTGGGTCTCACGTGTGGGTGGCAGGTACCCAAACTCTTGGGCCTTCTTTCTTTGCTTTCCCAGCATGTTAACAGGAAGCTGGGTCCAAAATGGAACAGCCAGGATTCAAACCAGCACCCACATGGGATCCTGGTATTGAAGGCAACAACTTTACTGTGCATGCCAATCCCTGCCCCCTCCCACCCCATGATTGAATTTTTAATACAGAAGTTAGATTAAACTTTCCTCTTCTTTCTCCCATTTTCACTCTTCTGTGTCCTCTTTCTTAATGGTTCCTTTGTGTTTGTTTGTTTGTTTTTTTATGCCAATTCTCAGTCCTGCCCATACCTTCCCCACCTTAGAAGAATGCTTAAATTATGAAAGTATGAACTTTGAGGCATCAGGAAGCAGTCGTGAGTGTAAGTACAGGTGGATCAGAACTCTGAGGTGTGGCCGTCAAAGCTAGGATCACTATGGGGTCTCAGAGGTTTGCTGCAGGCTCCCTGCCAGACCCTGGGGCCTTGTGTGTGGGACATGTGAAGTCTTACACCAGCCTCTGTCCTTTTCTTCAGCTCACCTGCTGCCTAGACACAGCGTAGTGGTGTACTAGTGCAATATAACCCACCACTGTCATATTATGATCGTGTGCTAACAAAGGCGAGTGGATAATATACTAACCGGTAAAGCAGCCCTGAAAAGACAACAAGGGCAAATATTATTTAGACGGAATTTGAACAAAGCAAAATAAAAATAGGATTCTGTGTTTAGAGTTAGGAAAATTTTAGAAGAAAAAGAAGTTTTGACAATTTGGGTTAAATTGAGGAAGGAGAGAAAATTTACTGGGAGGCCAGTGTAGATGTATGGGGGAAAATTGGTAATTGTGTATTTTTAAATATGAATAAAGATAATAGCTTTAAAAATATATCAGACCTTATATAGTCATGAACTTTATTCCTTCTTGAATGTTCACCTGGAAAGGCTAAAATCCAAGATGACTTTGAAGCAGTGAGTATTTTCTGTGTGGCAGATATGGTGCAGCCGTCCATTGTTCCAGGACTCCCTCTTGGGGAGACGCCTGCTATTGGAGCTGGTTTATGAACGCGGAAAGATAACAGTGTTCAGTCTGGATGGACCAAAGAACTTAACTTAATCTTACTCACCAGAGCCAAGGCAAATGCCTTCAGGCTGTTGTTAAGAACCAGCGTTACTCAGAAGGAAAGCTGTTGAGCGTGTGTCAGATGCCGTCTCAGTGTGAGGCACCAGGTTACTCTGAGTGCTCCTTGACTCCTGATCTTACATTAGACAGATATCAGACTAATGTGTAGTTGGGTAAGGAAGGCATAAACAGATGTGAGATGAGTTGAGGGAATTCAGATTGGACGTTCCCCTAAGAAGTTAAATGTCCTAGATGTGCTTTCTTACATTTAGAATTTTTAAATTTGTGGTGTTTAAGTGAACACAATAGTGAGCTCTATACAAAGTATTCTCCAGGAGAAGCTCTGGAGGAATTTCTCCATTATTAGATAATAAAATTTAAGAAATGATTGAATGTCTTCTGAAAAAATCAGAGGTGATTAAAGCAAGATCTTTACCCTAGAAGAGCTTAACCTAGTAGATATTTTGAAATATTTTAGCCTATAAAATGCTATATTTGAAATAATAAATCATTTATTTATGGTTAACAGAAATGTAAAGCTCAGCCAGATTCTAAGTTAATACAGTTTAATTTTTGGAGATTTTATTTTTTAAAGATTTGTTTTATTTATTTGAAAGGCAGAGTTACAAAGAGGGAGAGAATGAAGTTCCATCCACTATGTTATCCCCAAATGGCCACACTGGCCATAATTAAGGCAGGCCAAAGCCAGGAGCCTCTTCCTGGTCTCTCACATGAGTGCAGGGGCTAAGCACTTGGGACATCCTCTGCTGTTTTCCAGGCTCATTAATAGGAAACTGCATCAAAAGTGAAGCAACCCGGACTTGAATGGTACCCATATGAGATGCTGGTGTCGGCATCATAGGCAATGGCTAACCTACCTCATCACAATACCAGCCCAGTTCTTAAAGTTTTAAAAATATTCATATTATAAAAGAAGCTGTTAGTTCCTGTAACCTAATGTATTGAAAATAGTGAAACATAATTCTAGGATGAGAGCATGGAAAGGTAATTGATATATTCAAGGAAATGTCTTATGGATATTTTTTAACTCAAGTTATATTGCCTTATAGATCATGGTGTGGTTTTTGTTGCTGTTTTCCTTTTTTTTTTTTGGTGTTCTTAGTTTATAAATCAATTCTAAGCTTCAAGTAGATCCCCCATAAATGTATCTTAAACTGAATGTGACTTCATCATTTGCCTCTTTGAACTCTTGCCACCTTCTGAGTTTGAAAGTTTGCCTAAGTTCTGTGCATTTACTTACTGCCTTTTATTTCTTCACTTGTCTTTGGCAACTGCTTTCTTCAGATCAGAATCAGGCTTTGCGCCTCTGTCTGGGTAGCACCAGTGTTGGAGGACAGTATGGAGCCATCTCTGCCCTCAGTATCAACAATGACTGCTCAAGACTTCTCTGTGGCTTTGCTAAAGGGCAGGTAAGATATAAATTTTCTTCTACTTGTAAGACAACATTAAAATATTTAGATTGGTATTTAGAAAACTAATATATGTGTTGTGAAGTGATATGTCTATAAATCGACAGTGAGATTGTTCAGTCTGTTTTTGTCAGATATTTTATTGATTGTTGATTGAGCCAGAATCTCAAATTTATTTTATATACCAATTCATGTATCTGTTTGAATAAAGAGCTTTTATAAATCAAACAGAGCATTATATAAATATACTTCTTTATAGCAGTGTGTCTAATCGTGGCTGTCTTTTCTTTTGAAAAGCAGAGTCCAAGAGAGACAAAGACAGAATGAGCTCTCATCCCCTAGTTCCTTCTCCCTGACAGTAGACCCCCTTGGGTTGAAGCCAGGGGCTGTGAGCTTAATCCAGGTCTCCCATATGTGGCAGGAGTCCAACTACCTGAGCTATCCCCATTGGCTCCCAGGGTCTGCATTAACAGGAAGCCTGAACCCAGGCACTCCAATAGAGAATGGGGGCATCTTAACCTGCGTCTTCACTGTCAGATCAGTGCGTATGCACCCTTCCTAAAATTTTTGTTTTGTGTGGCTACTGTTCAAATACCCTATACCCTGTTTTCTGTGTTCTTATTACTGTGTTCCTGGATAACTGTTTTGGTGTTTCTTTCCACTTCTAGTAGTAGATTCTGGTGTTTCTCATCTTTTGATTTATACATCACTAGCTGGTTTGGCAGTAAGCCTTTCCTATGATTTTACCAATGCTAAACAGATTGACTTATTAGAGCAATTTCCTTTATCACTGAGTGTAAGAACAGCATTTAAAATCCAAAGGGAAAAGTAGATGGGGCAGGATGAGGGGTAGATGAAGATAAAGGCTCAGTGCTTTAATGGATCTGCAACCTTAAGGTATGTTTTAACTTTACAGCTCTTTGCCTGCAATGTTTATAGACCAGGGACAGATTATTGCAGCCAGAAGGTAGGAAACTTAGGTCCAAAAAGAGCAGTAAATTTGTTTTTAAAGCATCTAGTTGTCTTATAGATCACCATGTGGGATTTGGCCAGTGGAAAACTACTAAGATCAATAACAGATGCTCATCCTCCAGGAACGGCTATATTGCATATCAAGGTAATAGATCTGCTTTCTTTTTCTAGTAATTTTTATGATCATACCGTTGTATCCATTTTAAGGTAAATTTCTCCATATTGACAATCAGAAGTCCGATAAGTATATGTAACATGAAATTGCACACTCGTGTATGAATAAAATTCTTCACTTTGAACTATCTTTTGTTTAACTAATCTAACAAGTTGTTTTCTTAGGTTAAAACCAGAGATGGGCTAGTGTGGAAATATTCTGGTTATATTGAGGTCTAATAGAGTAGCCAAGAGGGCAGAGTGATGTGATCCAAGACTAAGGATTGGCCACAAAAACAGGCAGCACTGTGCTGGAGACTCAGGTGGGGACTTAAAAAGGTCTTTTTCCTTTCTGAATTCACGAAGATTCTATTGCTCTGTCATTCTTGGGTGTTGCTTGCAGTTCAAAGCAGGCAATTGTAAGGGAATCAGGGTTTGTACTATGTTTAGAAATGAAATCTGTTGGTTTATTTTCTTTCAGGCCTCAAAAGGAAAAGTGTTAAGATCTTAGTCTTGGTTTCTCTTTCCAGGCCTGAAAAAAATAAACTGACTTAGGTAACAGATTTCATTTATAAATACAATTTGAATCTCGGTTCTTACATGCTGGCAAGCCACATTCAGAAGCATAAAAGGTAAAGACTATAACCAGAGAAATCTAAACTCAGATCTTCTAGATTTTAATCATGTGCACATTTTGTTGCTTAGCTTTGCAGAGTTCCATTATCCATACATGTGCTTTTTAAAGTCTGCTAGCATCTGGAGTTTATATGTCTGCATCTAGGTTAGTTCCAAAAATGTCTTTTGTGACAAAGGAGCATTGAAGAAGCATTTAGTTACAATGAAAACAACCAACACAAGTGAAAGTAGGGAGATTTTTTTTTCTCTTTTAGAGTATTGTGATAATTTATCTTGACCTCTTTTTTTCATATGGTATGTGCCAGCTTCTAATATAATTGTGTATATGTCTTATCTCTCTTAAGATCTTTGAATGCAGAATCTCTTTGCCATTTATTTATTTCTTTAAGATAGCTGCTCAATAAATGTTTGATTGAAGGAGTAATTAGTTGGAGGTGTTTATAAAAGGCCAATTATTTTTAAGAAAAAAAAAACCCAAGGAGTGGTGATGGCAGTGGTGTGTGCAGGTGCTGAGATGAAAGAAGAGACACAGATGATTGAATGCTTCTGAAGACAGATTGACAGTGGCCACTTGACATCAGTATTCTTAACTGTTCTCTCAACTTAATACCACAACGCATCAGTAGCAATATGGACTTTGAATGGTGTGTGTGTGTGTTGGTGTGCACTTCACTAATTTTTAAGCACATGTTAAAGTGTATGCACAAGAACTAAACAGTTAAATAGAATGAGTTCTACTATTTTCCCTACACTTCAGTGGGTCACATCCCTAGAGTGTATGTTTCCTGCTTTGAACTGCTCACGTAGGCTTTGCAAACAAAGATGTGCAGCTTCTTAGCTAAGTTGCTGTGCTTGTGTGGGGTTGAGGAAGAATTTTGCAGTGGCCTCGTGTACCTCATCCATCCCCATCCCAGAGTAGGAAAGCTTGCCAATTAGGGTAGGTCACCAACTTTTAGATGTGATTATGTGACAAAAGTCACATCATTCTGTGTCTTGTGATTTTTTAAAAATAATGTTTGGTTATTTACTGTTTATTTAGAAGGCAGAGAGAGATGGAGACAGATCTTCCATCTACTGACATACTTTGCAAATGCCTATTCCAGCTTTTGTATCCAGAAGCCAGGAATTTCAGCCATGTTTCCTATGTGGGTGGCAGAAATTGAAGCACCTAAAGCATCACCTGACTCCCGTAGTATACATTTGTAGGAAGGTGGAATTCAAAACAAAACTGTAACTCAAACACAGACACTGCAATTTAGGATGCTGGTGTTGTAAGTAACATCCAGACTGCTGTGCCACACACCTGCTCCAGTATCCTGAAAATTTTGTCATACCTCATATGACTTAAACTCTTTGTCATGGAGAATATTATTTTATCTCTTTTGTGTTCCAGGTTAGGTAATATTTGCTGAAATTTGCTCTGTGGAATGTAAAGGAGAATGACAAATTTTAGGAAGACTAACATAAAAAGTTAAAATGTTTTAGATGTATTCACACAAGTTTATTTCCCAGAGATAACAAGCATTTCTAAAGAGATTTATTTATTATTTTTATTGGGAGAGGTGGATTTACAGAAGAAGAAGAGACAAAGATCTTCCATCTGCTGGTTAACTCCCCAAGAGGCCTCAGTGGCTGGAGCTGAGCTAATCCAAAGCCAGGAGCCGGTAGCTTCTTCTGGGTCTCCCACGTGGGTGCAGGTTCCCAAGGCTTTGGACCATCCTCTACTGCTTTCCCAGGCCACAAGCAGGGAACTGGAATGAGCATTGATATGCATGATATCAACCGGCATTCATATGGGGTCCTAGCACGTGTAAGGCGAGTATTTTAGCCACTAGGCTACCATGCTGGGCCCAATAACAACCATCTTTTACTGTCTCTTTGTTCTTGAAAACTAGGCAATTGCTAATGTGTCTAGAGGCTCCTATTCATTTAATAACCTTAGTATAAGGCCAAGTGCAGAATCATAGGACTTTTAATAACCATAGTTTGTATTTTTCTTTTATTCTGATGAAAGGTGGTTTTACTTTTTGAAATCCACAGTATTTTAAATATGTTGAACTGTTTCTATTCTATATAAGGCTAGGTTTGTATGTTTAACATAATGAGCTGCATCTAGTTTATTTCAAATGCTATTATATGTGTATAGTGTATATTTTCCAAATTTAATGGAAATGAATTTATTATTAGACTGGTTATTTAAAAATCTACAAGATAATAAATTCCTTCTCTGTTTAGTTTACAGATGATCCAACTCTTGCCATTTGCAACGACAGTGGAGGCTCTGTTTTTGAACTGACATTTAAGTAAGAGACTCTTGGACATTTGCTGACAGATGAAAAGACCATCTCTGGCTTTGTAATTTGAAATTGAACATGATGAATTCTAGAAAACACACATGGTTGAAAATAGAGTTTAACTGTATATTACACTTACCTAAAGAAGCTTACTGAATATAAGTCGCACATCTCATTCTTGAAAATTCTATCCTAATAGGTGTGAGTTGGGAATATAGACCCCCTACTCTCCAAATGACTCATAAGTACTGTCAGGCTTAGGAGCCACTCTGGCCTCACTGAGTAATACTGACCCAGGTTCCAGACCAGTTGATTATAAGCAAAATCATTAGGGGTAAAAACATTTTTTATTGTCTTATAATTGCCATGTTTGCTCCTTAAATAAGAGCAAACATTTTTAGATACATGAAAGAACATTTATGAAGCTGATGTTTTTTAAAAAATAGAATGTAATATTCAACATATATGTTTTCATGCCTTCTTCAAGATTAGTGACCTATGTTTCTTGTGTTTCTTATGGCTTCTAACAGTGCTAAACACAGATAATACTGGCTGAGAAACTTGTTGGTTTATTCAGTGTGTTTTTAAAAAAAAAGATTTATGGGCCCGGCGGCGTGGCCAGTGGCTAAAGTCCTCGCCTCAAACTCCCTGGATCCCATATGGGCGCCGGTTCTAATCCCGGCAGCTCCACTTCCCATCCAGCTCCCTGCTTGTGACCTGAGAAAGCAGTCGAGGATGGCCCAAAGCTTTGGGACCCTGCACCCATGTGGGAGACCTGGAAGAAGTTCCTGGATCCTGGTTTTGGATCAGCATAGCATCGGCCGTTGCACTCACTTGGGGAGTGAATCAATGGACAGAAGATATTCCTCTCTGTCTCTCCTCCTCTCTGTATATCTGACTTTCCAATAAATAAATGAATCTTTAAAAAAAAAAGAGAGAGATTTATTTGTTTTCATTGAAAATGAAGATTTCCAGAAAGAAGAAGTGACAGAGAAAAAGACCTTCCATCCACTGGTTCACTCCGCAAATGGCCACAACAGCCAGAGCTGGCAAATCCAAAGCCAGAAACCAGGAACTTCTTCCGAGTGTTTTATACAGGTGCAGGGTCTTGAACACTTCGACCATCCTCCTTTGCTCTCCCAGGCTACAGTTAGGGAGCTGGGTTGGAAATGAACAGCCAGGACTTGGAACTGGCATTCATATAGGATGTTGGAGCTTAAAGGTAGAGGGTTAGCTAGTTGAGTCATTGTGCTGGTTCTGGTTCACTGAATGGTTATGTAGCCTCTTCTACATGTAGGAGTTTATCCTAACATCAGAATTCTAGCTGTGAACAAGGCAAGGTTTCTACCCTGATTGGACTTAGCTTCCAACTGGGGTGAGAGTAGGGTGGCATAGTATAAACCAACATGTAAATGAAATAACTTCAGATAGGTATAAGTGCTGTGTATCAAACTGACAGGTTTGTGGGCTGGAGGGCACTTGGAGATAGCTTAGGAAGACCTTTCTGAAAATAACATTTGAAAAAATGACCTGAATACACATCCCATTCAACACATGCCAAGATCTGGAGGAAATGTTCTAGTTAGAAAATATTCAGACGTAAAGGCCTGGGATTGGGCACAAACTTGGCTAACTGGAGTAATGGAAAAAAGGTGGGTATGGCAGGAGTGTGATTTCTGTCAGGAACAATGGGAGTGGGAGAAAAATAAAGCCAGGAGCTAGACCATGTAGGATCTTGGATAAAGCATTTGGGTTCTATGTGACGTACGTTGGCAAGCCAGTGAAGTGTTTTTAGCTAAAGAGTAGTAGGTCTGACTGTATAATAAGAAGACTGTGCCCTTGTCATGTGAAATTTGGATCATTAGGAGCAAGAGTAGGAATTAGGAGGCTATTGTCTTAGTGCAAACTCGAAATGACAATGCCATATTTGTTGCCAGATTAATTCTGAACTTTCTGATTACATTTCAGGAGAGTAATGGGAGTGAGAACATGTGAATCTAGGTGTCTCTTTAGTGGTTCCAAGGGTGAAGTTTGCTGTATTGAGCCTCTGCACTCTAAGCCCGAATTGAAGGATCATCCCATCACCCAGTTTTCATTGTTGGCCATGGCATCCTTAACAAAAGTAGGTATAATTTGAAGATAAAGTCGCTAAATTTAGATACTTTGAACTCCACAGACAATAGAAAATGATAAGGTAAATATGTAAAAAACTATTTTTTTCCCCCTAAAGATACTGGTCATTGGATTGAAACCATCCTTGAAAGTGTGGATGACCTTTCCCTATGGACGGGTGAGTAAGCCTTTACATAACAACTGACAAAAGTAAGGAGTCAGGAGGTATGGTGAAATGACTTGATCAGAAAACCAGGTCAAATGCCAGTTAGTGTTCCAGAGATCCCTGTCTGAATTCACTGTAAGATGACCAGAGCAGCAATTGCTGGTGGTAAGAACAGTGTCCAGGGGATCATGAGAGCTTGTACTTTTTTTTTCTATCATCAGTTTGTTTTTTCTTATTAATAGTATATTGTTGGCCTTTAAAGATTAAGTTATTTGAAAAGCAAAGAAACCTGTCATTTTCTGCCTCACTCCTCAAATGCCTAAAACAGGTAGGACAGGCCAGGCTGAAGCTGGGCACTAGGAACTCCAGATCTCCCATGTGGGTAGGAGGGACCCATGTTCTCGTGCCATCTGCTGCCTCCCAGGGTATACTGGTTCTAAGAATTTGGATCAGAGTGGAGCTATGACTTCAGCCCAGGGACTGGGATGGATGTGGGATGTGTGTATCCCAGGTGGTATCCTCTCTGTGCCAAATGCCTGCCCTTGGCTTTGGTTTTTAACCTCAAGCTGACATTCTCTGTTGTGGTACTTGTGGTCACATCTAATAATGGACTTTCTTAGCCTCATTCTCTGCCTTTTTTTTTTTTGAGTGCAGTGAAACTTTTTTTTTTAATTGGAGTTAAACTGAGCTCTTACTTTGAGTGCCAGCCCTAGTTTTCATTGTTTGAAAGACACTTATTTTGGTGTGAGTGCTGAGCAGAGCAGGATTATGTCACTGTTTCCTACATTGACAGTGATAGTGTTCACCCCACTGTAATGTCCTGCTTAATTACTTCTACGCATGATTTCCCTGGCCTGTGCCTCTGATATTTTGCCTTGAGGATAAAACTTTCCAGAGAGTGTTAATCACATCTCAGTCTCCTTTTACCTGCTTGGTTTGTTTTAAAAGGTTGTGATCTTCCATTGAATCTGTCAGGAGAGATGTGGCTGGGTTCGGGTGGGGGAGGATAACACAGAACTCTGGCTACTTCTGAAAGCAGTTCTTCCCTTAAGGGGGGGGTCATTCTTGTCTTCTTGTTGGTGCCCTATGGAAAAGCAGGCCTGTCTCTCAGATGGCGAGGCTGGGTTAAGTTGCCCATCAGCAGTTCTTGGGCCTTGTATGGCATATGTGTTTGATTTCTTTTGTCCATTTTTGTCAGTATGTTTTCCCAGCTTTTTATTATAAACATTGAAAAATAAGTAAAGAATTTTGCATTGAACACTTACATACTTATCAACCAAATTGTGGCATTAACATTTAATTGAACTTTATTGTGTGTCTACTCATCTACCCACCTCTGTGTTCACCATCAACCTATTTTTAACGTATTTCAGTGTAAATTGAAAAAAATAAGTGCCCATTTGTGTTAATATTTAGAATGTATATTATTAGCTGGGGTTTGACCTTTGTCTAGGTTTTTTTTTCCTTTGGTTTAAAATTTACACACAATAAATACACAAATCTCAAATGTACATTTACTGCATTTTAAAAAGCACTGATCAAGATACAGAACATTACCATTAAGCCACGAAGTTCTCCCTGTATGCTTGGAATTTGAGAAAGTATGAAAAGTTTTTGTCAGGAAACACCAATCAGATGTTAGTTTTAGCAAGACTGTTTTGTTTTACTTTGTTCTTTGTTGTTGTTGTTGTTAACCTTAATGACTTTTTCCCCTCTTCTGTTGAGTTAGATGGATCCCTCCAGTGTCCCACTGCTGGCCTGGCACTTTGTGGCTGTGCAAAATTGTGTGAATCCCATGCTTGCCTTCTGCAGAGGAGATGTTGTTCATTTTCTGTTGGTGAGTCCTAATATGATGCCTGGTCTCTTATATGATTTTCCCCCCTCAATTTTATTTTCTAATTCACCAGTAATTTAATATTACATCAAAGTAATCTATTTTATTATCATATACGTTTTTGGAGAGAGAGAGAATGATGTATTTTTTATTGAACTCTTTAATGGCTAATGGGAAAAAATTGCTTACCCTCCTCTCTCTAGCTTTAATGGTTTAGTTTTCAGTTCCATCACTTTTGAGTGACAAATAATTAATAGTTTATATGTACAAGCATTAGAATATGAATATATCTGTATTAATGTTCTGCCTATCTACATATATGTTATCTGCCATGTAATAGGCTCAAGAAGCATTGAAAGAAATATAATATATAATTCGTTCCTAATATGGTTTAAAAGGCAAAAACAAAACAGTATACTCATTACTAATAGGGAGAAAAATTTAAGAAATGAACTTTGTGGTGAGAATCAAACGTTAAAGTAAATTCAGGGTACAGAGAAATTACTACATTCGAGAGAGGTCATGGGAGGTTTTACAAAGGATATTCAGGAAAAATTACAGGAAGTGAAGATAAGCATATTGTGGGAAATGAGATGAAGTCACAGAAGTAAGACTGTTCCTGTGTGATCTCTTCTTGAGTGTCCTAGCTCCTGAAGCAATTTGCTCACTGTCTACCTGGTTTCTCTAGCCAGAAACCTCAGTTACTCTTCTCCCATCATATCTGCTCTGTCTCTAAGTTCTGTTGACACTAGATCCACAATCCCCTAACTTTCTCCTTTTTTGTATCTTCTTTTGTTGTATCTCTATGTGAGTCACATTTCTTGCCTATGTGTTGCAGGCACATATTCTTACCAGTACCAGTGTTTTCTCATATGCTTTGTCTGGAAAGCTCTGTTTATCCTAGCCCATGATTCACATTGTCTTCACTGACTTCTTGAACTAAGTTATGCTTCCCTTCACATGACACCAGCTTGACTTTCTCCTTTGATAGCATTCAGCCAACTTTACTTGTATGATGTTTCTCTTCATTACTAAGGAAAAAAACTCCATAAATCTAGTGATCAACTCTGCTTACCTATTTCTAGCCACTAGAAGAGTATCTGTGTATATTAGATGGTTATTAAATATTAATAGAACAATGGGGAGAAACTTATGAAAAATAAATTGACTATTTGGAATGGACCTGGATTAGGATTAGAGCATGACAAACTGTGGTTTGTGGGCCCAACTGATGAACCACCTGTTTTGTAAGTGAAATTTTGTTGGGACACAGTCATGTCCATCTACATGACTGTTATTAATGACTACTCTCGATTAAAAGGTCTGGGTTGAGTAGGTATGACAGATGGTATTACTTGGTCTACAGACCCTAACATACTTACTGTGTATACCTGTATTAGTTTTCCATCAATATCATGGAATGCCTTAGGCTGGGCACTTTTATAAAGGAAAGAGATTTGTCTAGCTCACAGTTTCAGATGCTGAAGAGCATGGGACTAACATCTACTCAGCTCTAGGGAAGGTCCCCATGGCTGGATCTTACTGTGGATAACTTAGTGCCAGGAGTGCTGAGGCAGGAAGAGAACAGGATGCAAGACATGCAGTCTGAAAATGGGGAGATATCAACCTTGTGACCTGCTTCAAAGCCCCCCCCTCATAAAGGTCCCATCACTTAACAGTGCCAAACAAGCACGTGTCTATGCTTCTGACACGTGGACTTTTGTGTAACACACAGTTAAGCTATATCTGAACCATAAAAGGTCCTTTATGGAAAAAAAAAATTGCCAACCTCCAATATAAATTATACAGTAATGGACCTAGATTGACAATTGGGAAAAACACAAGATTTAAGGTAATAAAAGTGATAAAGAGATGATTAAAGTGATAGTTTTGTGAACTCATTCTAGAATCAGCAAAAACAATAACTTATAGAAGATAGCAGGGAAATTGAAGGTTTTTCTGTTTCTTTTTTTATCATTTATTTATTTGAAAAAGAGAGAGATCTTTCATCTTCTGGTGTGCTCCCCAGTTGGCCACAGTGGCCAGTGCTGGGCTGTGAAAAGCTGAAAAAAAACCAGGAGCCTGAGCTTCATCTGGGTCTACCACATGGGTACAGTGGCCCAGGCATTTGAGCCATCCTCCTTTGCTTTCCCAGGTACATTAGCGGGGAACTGGATTGGAAATGGAGCAGTTGGGACTCTAGCCAATGCCCATAGCCCTATGGGTTGCCTCCATCTCAAGTGATAGCTTTACTTACTACATCACAATACTGACCCCAGGTTTTTCCTCTCATAATAAAATAGATGTGATGTGTTTAAACAAAGATGGTTAGTTGCAATGATACTTTGAAGAAAAGGCATGATACTTTGAAGAAAAGACAAGACTTCTGGATCATGTTGGATCTCGAGGCTGGTGGACATGAATGAAAAATTATGTTTCTGACATTTTATTTTCCTTTTAAAGATTTATTTGTTGCAAAGTAAAGTTAGAGAGGGATATATAGGGGGTTGAGAACGATTGAAAGAGGTACTGATTGAGAGAGATTGACTTTCCATCCATTAGTTAATTCCCCAAATGATTGCAATGATAAGAACTGGTTCAGAGTAAAGCCAGGAGCCAAAAACTGTTTCTGGGTTTCCCATGCCAATGACAGGAACCCAATCACTTGAGCCATCTTTTGTTGCTTTCCCTGGCATTTTAATTATCAGGGAGCTGGGTAGAAGTGGAGCAGTCAGAGCAGGAATTGGTGCTCATATGAGATGCCAGCATTACAGGCAATGGCTTAGCCTACTGTTGTGCCATAATACTACTCTGATTTTGCATGTTAGAACCAAGAAATATTTGAAGGGAAATTGTGTTACGAGAAAAGACACTATTTTCTATTTTCATTTGGAAGTAGAAACACTATTTTCATTTGAAAATAGAAAAAGCAGAGACATGTTTGAGAGTGAAAGGAGAAGGCCCCTTGAAAATAAGCAGTTGAGTATGCCAGCAAGGGAGGGGTACAACCGAGCAGGGACCGGGCAGGCTAGGATGTTAGAGCATATGTTGGTGAAATGGTTTTATTTGGCAGAGACTTTAGAAAATCTTAGGGGAAAAGGTAATCTTTGATATTAGGTAATTTCAATTTGTGAAATATTTTCAACATATGCTGTATATAGGGCAATTTGGGCAGGCTTATTTTTGTTTTACAGATGGTAAAAGTCAATACATGATTGTTTCTGGTCATGTAGCTATAATAGTGGAAGTTAAACAGATGGATGTAAAGCCCAAGTTCAGTTTTCTTTTTAATATGATTACTTTTATTTGAAAGGCAGGTAGAGTTAGGAAAGGAGAGATAGAGAGATCTTTTATCTACTGGTTTACTCTCCAAATGGATGCAACAATCAGAGCCAGAGCCAGGAGAGTCCTCCAGGTCTTCCACATGGGTGCAGGGGCCCAAGGACTTGAGCCATCCCCCACTGCTTTCTCAGGCTGCAAGTGGAGAGCTGATTGGAAGTGGAGCCTCTGGGGTACAAACTGGTTCCCATATGGTATGCTGGTGCTTAGTGAGAATCTTAGTCTATTACACCTCAGTGAAGATTGGCCCACTTCATTTGCTTAAAGCAAGTTCCTTCTTGGGGAAGTGATTCAGTGACATCAAGGCAGGACTACTGGAAAGGCCCACATGAAGCGATTTCAGTTGTTTGTAAATGTGATGGGACCAGGAGCCAAGAGGAATGGGACTTCTGGAGAAAGCTGGGACACTTCCACTGATGGCAAGTGGCAACTGTGTAAGAAAGCCTGAGGGAATTGCATGTTGTGAATTTTAGGTGGTCAGATATGTTTTATGCTCTACCTTTCTTGTTCAGTGTTCTGTTACCTCAGAGCAAAAGTGGAGAAAGCAAAGTACAAAGGTGACTGAGGATTATACATTCCTCTGTGTATCATAATTAAAATATCTGCACTCAAGGTTTGGGAAATGGTGAGCTATAACACAGTATCATAGTTCAGAAGAGTCTAGTTTTTTAAAAGAACCACCGCCTTTTAAAGTTTTTCATTTGGTGAACTTTCTAAAATTTCATTGTACTGCATCAACAATCCCAACCCACACTTTAATTCCAGCTAAATCAATCACTAATGTGATGAAGTCAGATTGTTCTGAATCATGACAGTAAATAGTGTGGTACAGCATTTGCTAATACTAACACCTAGGTCACTAGCCAGGTATGCTTTGGATTTTGGTGCAAGTCATGGATTAAAATATTTTGTTTTCATTTATATCATGTCGGTATTTTTGGCTCACCCGCACTGAGTGGGAATCATTTTAGGTGGAATGTAATTATCTAAGAAAGCCCCTCAAACAGTAGCTGATACTTAGGTTGTTTTTCTTTTAACATCAGGTTAAAAGAGATGAGTCTGGAGCAATACATGTTACCAAGCAAAAGCATCTTCACCTGTACTATGACCTCATCAACTTCACTGTGAGTATACTCAGCATCCTCTGAATTTCATGTGATTATTTTGACTCCATCGTGTCTTAAAGCTGCTGGCATTTTTGCTATGAACAGTGACCCTTGGGATAATCCAAAATATGTGGGCAGAAGTGAAGTCCAGCTTATGTGTTTGTGATGCAATGCAATCATTCTTTTTTTTCCCCTTATATCCTGCTGAATATTAGCAGGATCAGGAGGTCGTCTTAGTGTTTAGGGTAGTTTGGGTTCAGAAAAGCAGGTGGATTTTTTTCAAGATATTTGCTAAGTACATTTCTAAGTATATTTTTGTATTTCTGAGCTTAATAATTCATTTAGGAGCTTGTGTCACTTATTCTCTTCCAATGACTAAAAATTTTATACAATTCTCTCTACCACACATTTCAGTCCTGAGAAAATAGTTTTTTGTACCAAAAATTTTTTAACTTGTGTGTTAATTTTGAGAATAGTGTAATTATAATAGAAATTGATCTCTAGTGTTAATGCATTTAGTATATCCTTACATAATATTGAGTAAACCATACTTGATTATAAGCAACCCTAAACATAAGAGAATGCCTCATTTTTTTTTCTCAATAAAAATATTATAAAAAACGATCTTTCCCCAACTGATTTACATATAATTTTTCAGGATGCAAATGAACTAGATCTTTTCTTTATGATATATGGTTTTTTGGGCAGATATTCGATGTCATGGTTAAGATGCTCCTTGGGATATGCATATCCCATATTACAGTACTTGGGCTTAAGTACTTGACTGCTTCTCATTCCAGCTTCCTTCTTATTTATTTGTACCCTGGGAGGCAGCAGATGATGGTTGAGTACTGCATCCCTGCTACTCATGTGTGAGACCAAGACTGAATTCCTGTACCTGGCTTCTGCCTGGGTCATTCTGGTTCGGTCAAGGCTGTTGTGGACATTTGGAGGGTAAACCAGGAGATGGGAGATCTCTATATCCATTTGTATCTCTCCTTATGCCTCTCAAATAAATAAAAAAATATATATTCTTAAATGCAGTATACAACTAAGTTAATCATATATTTTTTAATAGTTTGAAGGGAGGATTTTTAAAAACGATTATTTTTATTGGAAAGAATGAGATATAGAGAGAATGAGAGAGAGAGAGAGAGAGAGAGAGAGAGAGAGATTTTTCATCCGCTGTTTCACTCCCCAAATGGGTGTAACATCCAGAGCAAGGCTGATCTGAAACAGGAAGCCAGGAGCTTCTTCCAGGTCTCCCACATGCATACTGGGACGATTCTCTGCTGCTTTCCCAGGCCACAAACAGGGAGCTAGATCAAAAGTGAAGCAACCAAGACTCGAATCAGCACTCATATGGAATGCTGGCACCACAGGCAGAATATTAGCTTGCTATGCCACAGTGCCAGCCCCAGTAAATCATATCCTAAAATTTATTTATTTGAGAGAGCACAAGAAATAGATAATGAACGAAAGAGTCCTTTTCTGCTATTTCACTCCCCAAAAGCCTGCAACAGAAGCTGGGACCTGGAAACTCAATCCAGGCCTCCTTCCTGCATGTTAACAAGAAGTTGTAATTGTTGCAGGACACAACTGGATCAGAGATCCTTGTTTTCACACCAGAAAAGAATTTCAGGTGTGAACCAGAAAGTAACAGTGTCGGTGTTAGTGAAGTTCACTTGCAAGACTGTACCTCGCAGATCAGACCAGCATTTTAGGAAAGAACTAAGAGCCCAGTCTGCCTTTCAGAATGCGGTTTTTATAGATGGGGATTGTGGGTGGAGAGCTGCTTGAATATGGAATTAGAAATTCCTTCTAGGATCTTATCGTCACATTGGTGGATCTAATATCTCCCCTGGCACAGAATGGGGAATATTCCCTTAAGCTGCCCCCCAGGGGAGGGCTGGGACCCATCTAAGGTGTGGGCATAGGCAAGATTTGAGTACAGCTGCATTTGAGACTTCCACGCATGCTCCTACTGTTGTTTTCTTCATTCAACTACAGGATATTCTTGCTTTGTTCTTTAACCCTCTCACATCCATAAGCTAATGTCTATCTTCCTGCTTAGCAGAATCAGCAGGGGAGTGGGACTCAAGCCTAGGCGCTCAGATGTGGACTGCTGTGCCAGTAGTCCACTGCACACACTGCATTTTAAACTCAGCTCTAGACTGTTTGTGTAGAAATTGTTTTTATGTCCACATTTCATGAAAATAATTTTGTTAAACATTTTTTATACAAAATTATTAAAAAATTCATTCTTTTAAAAACTATAGCAGTATTTATGAAAAAATTCAGAGGATACAAAGTCGTAGAAATAACGAACTTCTGTAATTTTTAGGGAGATTTAAGAAAAATAATTTGTTTATTGTTTGTAAGGCATAATGACAGAGAGAGATAGAAAAAAAACCTTCCATCTGCTAGTTCAATCTCCAAGTGTTTGCATCAGACAGGCTCAGCTGGCTGGAACTGGCAGGGCCTGGGAACTCCATCCAGACCTTCCATATGGATGACAGGTACCCAAGTCCTGCCTTCCCCTAAATCTGGACTTGTAAGCGGAGTAGCTGAAACTCTAACTGGCACTTTGATGACAGACGTAGGTGTCCCAAAGTTGCAGCTTAACCCGCTTGCCACAGCACACACTTTTCTAAAGAGATTTGGAAGAAAATACAGTTTTAAAGTAGAGTAGCTTCCATTTTAATTGCATATTGTTTTGTTTGGTGTTAACCATTGTCCTTTGACCAGTTAGGGCTATAAGGCTTAATTTGCATTTTGACTTCCTAATAATCATAAAATGAGAAATGGAAAGTTTGTCACTATGCTGAAGTCATCTGTACCAATGCACCTTAAAATTTTGGGGGGGTATGAGTCTTCTTTTCACTATGAAAATGCTATTTAACATCATCAAATTTGGGGCTGGCATGGTGGCATAGTGGTTAGGGTCCTCGCTTTGCATGTGCCAGGATCCCATATGGTTGCCAGTTCTGATCCGGGCGGCCCTGCTTCCCACCCAGCTCCCTGCTTGTGGCTTAGGACAGCAGTCGAGGACGGCCCAAATCCTTGGGACCCTGCACCCGCGTGGGAGACCCAGAAGGAAGCTCCTGGCTCCTGGCTTCAGATTGGCTCAGCTCCAGCCATTGTGGTCACTTGGAGAGTGAACCATTGGACGAAGATCTTCCTCTCTGTCTCTCCTCCTCCTCTCTGTATATCCACCTTTCCAATAAAAATAAATAAATAAATCTTTCAAAAAACAAATTCAGTACTGTGTTGTACACCTGCTCTTCTCTGGGCTGTCAGTTGAGCCTTTATCACCGAGTTACCATGTAAATTGCATAATGGGTAAGAGCCTGCAAGTAATTTAACCGTATGACTAAGCCTTTTTCTTGTCTCAAATGATGAGATGGTCTGAGCCTCACTCTTGTGTTTTTGTTTGAATTGCAGTGGATAAACTCACGAACGATAGTGCTGTTAGACAGTGTGGAGAAGTTGCATGTGATTGATAGACAGACGCAAGAGGAACTGGAAACAGTAGAGATCTCAGAAGTTCAGCTGGTCTATAATAGCAGCCATTTCAAATCATTGGCCACAGGAGGAAATGTTAGCCAGGCCCTGGTAAGCATACTTAACATCTTGACAATGCTTCAATAACCTCGGTGTTCTGTGTTGGTTTTCATTTTAGAAATAGGAACTCTGGGGAGTTATTATTCTGTGTTTAAGTCATATGATTAAAGTGGGTGTGCATGTGTTTGTAAATTTGTGTTTGAGAATTTGGTGTGTGTTAAGTAGAATAATTTTATTTAAATGTAACCTGGGATAGGTTGAGGTTAACATACTGCAGACTGTACAGCAGTCATTTAGAAAGAAGTAACAGATAAGTCAGTAGTAGTGACAAAATGGAATGCCAGAAATACTTTAAAGAAATGTAAAAGGACAGTACAGGTGGGAAAAAGTATTATAATTGATATAAACTGAACCATAATCAATAATGACAGAGAATAGAAGTGGTCCTAAACATTTCAAGTAGAAGGAGAGATAATTGGTTTTGAGAAAATAAGAACCAACTATATGCTGTGTCTAGTAATTGTACATTAAGTCTGCACTCCTTTTTTCAATAGTAGATTTATTTATTTTTATTGGAAAAGCAGATGTACAGAGAAAAGAAGAGAAAGAAAGCTCTTCCGACCACTGGTTCACTCCCCAAGTGGCCACAATGGCTGGAGCTAAACTGATCTGGAGCTAGGAGCCTCCCTTGGTTCTCCTATGCAGGCTCAGGATCCCGAGGCCTGGGATCATCCTCCACTGCTTTCCCAGGCCACAAGTAGGGAGCCGTCGGGACTCGAACTGGCACCCATATGGGATCCCAGAGCATGCAAGATGAGGGCTTTAGCCATTAGGCTACTGCGCTGGGCCCAAGTCTGTATGTCACACCTGTAACAACATAGATAAACTAAAAGAATGGAAAAAGACATGCCATTCAAACACTGATCATGAGAATGACTATGTTACTATCAGGCTAAGTAGATTTCAGAGTAAGAAATATTGTCAGAGATAAAAAGAAATTTTAAAAATGAGAGAAGGAGGTTAGTTCATCAAGCCCACAGTCTTAAACATTCTAGTGTCCAGGGACAGAAGTATGAAGAACAGAAAACTCAAGCAGCCAAATCCATAATTGTAGTTGAAAATGAAAGCTCCTCCGCTAGTAATTAGTAAGTAGACAGAAAATCATGGAGTTTATAGAAAACTTGAACACAGTTTGACCACTGTGGCCTCACTGACAAAAGACTCTGCCCAACAAAAACAAATTGCAGATTTTTTCCCAACATGCATGTGGAGAATTCACCAACATGGAGTATATTCTAGGCATAAAATAAATTAAACAATTGGAAGAGATTAGAATCATTAGTATTTAAATCTGGAGAAAACCAAAATATTTGGAAATTAATCAGCATTTTTGTAAATAGCCCCTGGGTCAAAGAAGAAATTCCAAAGGAAAATAGAAACTATTTTGAGCTGATTGAAAATAAAGCATGTAAAAACTTTGTGGTCTATAATTAAATCATTTTCTGACTTTAATGTGTAGCATTTGATGCTTATGTTGCAAAAGAAGAAAGATATTAAATCAATGATTTAGGTTTCTGCATCAGTTAAGGAAATAGGAAGGGCACAATACGCTTGAATTAGATTAAAGGAAGAAATAACAATGAATACAAATCAATTAAATAGAAAACAGACAAATGATCGAGAAGAATCAAACAAAAGGCAAATCTTAGAAAGGTGAATAAAATTACTAGCTCTGAAGTGAGACAGATGAGAAAGAGAGAAGCTGTAATTACAAAAAAAAAAAAAAGCCTTGAAAGTAGTAATGTCACTCCCTAGAACAACCTCTAGATTCTATTTGTATTGGACGGTAATATTAACAGCTTTATAGTGATAAATTTAGGAACCTCAGAAGAAATTAAAACATTATTTGAAAGGTATAGATGACCAAAGCTGATTCAAGAAGAAATAGAAAATCCACATGGCCATTATGTTTATGTAAGAATTAACTTATGTTAAAATTATCCTACAAAGATACTCCAATTTTATGCAAAAATCTTTTAGAAAAGAGAGATGGGAATACTTAATCTATGAGGCTATTTACCCTGATATATCAGAAGCAGACATTATAAAAAAGAACACTATAGATCATTAGGCTCATGAGCTTAGAGGAAAACAATTTTTTTAAGATTGATTTATTTTTATTACAAATTCAGATATACAGAGAGGAGGAGAGACAGAGAGGAAGATCTTCTGTCTGATTATTCATTCCCCAAGTGGTTACAGTTGCCAGAGCTGAGCCTGTCCGAAGCCAGGTCTCCCATGGGAGTGCAGGGTCCCAAAGCTTTGTGCTGTCCTTGACTGTTTTCCCAGGCCAGAAGCAGGGAACTGGATGATAAAAAGGGCCCTGGCACACGAATCAGCGCCCATATGGGATCCCTGTGCAAGCAAGGTGATGACCTAGGGTACCTTACCGGGCCTAGAAACAAACATTTTAGCAAAATGTTAGTGAATAAAAACCAGCAATGTATAAAAAGAGCAATAAATTATCATTAAATGGTGTAATGCAAGGCTACTCTATCATTTAAAAATCAGTTACTTGCCATGTCAGTAGAGGCAGAAAAATGGTAAAATTAAATGTCCGTTTCCAATCAAATCCCTCAACAAATTAGGATAAGGGGAATTTCTTGAACCTTAGAATTGAGAACATCTACAGAAATACTACAGCCAACATGCTTGAAGTACTGCTGCAGAAACAAAAACAAAGCAATACTAAAATCAAAATGAAACAGAAAATTCTGAATTTGATCAAGTTTCCTCTGGAGAAAACACAGAATAGAGAGGAACACATTAAACTATTCTGTGAGGATGCAGTCAGAAAAATCCAAATAGTGGGAAATAATAGAATAAATGCTTCAGCTCTCAGCGAGTACATGGGGGGAATTAAGGACTGAGAGACGGATATGAGGCCACCAGGAAGCATTCAAGCAGCTCCAGTGTGTTGGCCTTGCTTGGATCTGATTTCCACCATCAAGTGTGGGAAAACCCACCAACTGAAACCATAGGGGTGCCTGACGGTTATGAGACAATTTGAAATCTAAACAGTGAATATTTGATATTAAGGATTAGTAGTTAACCACAGTCCCAATAATGTGTTTTTAAAAGTTATGTTAAGAAGGACTTTAAAAACGAATTGGATAATAAAAATTAAATATTCATAATTTGAAATTTCTTTCAAAATTATACCATGAAATGGGGTTGGTGGAAATATAGGTAAGACAGAATTGGTGATCGTTAATAAAGTCGATAGATGGATACACTATGAACTAAATTATATTACTTTTCCACTGTCAATGAGAGTTTAAAATTCCTGTAATGAGAAGTTAAGAAAAGTTATCATAGTTATATTATTACATAGACATTTACAAATATTAAAGTATCTAAATATCACAGAAACTGTGCAACGGTTTTCAGAGATGAGTAGCTGAATGTGAAAGGTTTGACATTTGTTCAGTGTCAGATCCAACAAGTGGCAAAGTCAAAGCTTGTGACCCAGGTTGGTCAGTGAGTGTCTTTTCTGTCTTCTGGCTGTGCTGACTCACATGTGCTGTGCGGCTCCCATCTTCCTGCCTCCTCGGTGTTATCTGTTGATATGTATTCCAAAGAATATGAAAGGTGCTCTTTCCAATCCATCTTATTCTTTGCCAGAAGCAATGATCTGCCTGTCATCCAGTGTGGGAGAAGTTGCAACAGTCTTCCTGTAGTTTTGGAAGTTGTCATATATCCTGCCTTTTCCACATTATTCTGAAATGTACAAAGTCTATATATTGCAAGCAGGCAATTATTTCAAGAACTCTGTCTTTTCTGTCACTTCCATTGTATTTGATTGACATTTTCCCTCCAGTTTTAGGATGGAACCACATTAAAATATTGTCTCTATACTTGATAATTGTAAAACTTTTTAGACTTTAAACGTGTCTATTTTTACCTATTTATTTTCCTGTAGGCCTTGGTTGGAGAGAAGGCTTGCTATCAATCCATCAGTAGCCACGGTGGTCAGATCTTTTATCTGGGAACAAAAGTAAGCTCCTTTACTGTGTGATTTGGCATCTGTATGTATCAAGGGAGTTAGAAACTAAAGGAAATTGCCAGGGAAGAGGATAGCATGTTACAGGATGAGCACTGAGTAGCAGTGGCCCAAACTTTTTCCCATTAGGTAGTCATGATTTTTGGTCGATTTGTTTCCTCTACTTTTAGACTTACTTTTGTCTCCTGCTAGCTAACAAGATGTGTATTTTATTTTCTCAGGAGCATGCTTTTATAACCTTTGTTTCCACTTACATTTTCATGATCAGGAAGATACTTCATCAGGTGCATTTTCTGTGTAATCCCAACAACCTTTAGCTTACATCGGTGTAGTATACATTACAGTGCACTGAGGCTTTTGTCTTAGAACAGACTCACTGGAATAGGAATTTTTTGAATGTCAATTTGTTTCTTTGCTGTATCTTTTAAGCTTAATGTGGAGGAACATTATTTATTATTAAAACTCCACCAAAATATTTATTTACTCATTAGTTTGGATCCTTGAACACCTTTTGCTAAGTTTTAAGCTATGTATCTAATTGTAGAATGAAGTGTTTTTGCTTAGGTATGAAATACAGTGTGGAACTGGGACAAATGTGTCTTCCAGCCAAGTCTGGAAACAGCACTTATTTTGTTTTCCTTTTCTTCATTTTCAAGTCTGTTTACGTGATGATGCTGAGAAGCTGGAGAGAGGTGAGCTCACATAATTTTATACGCAAGAGTTACTGAACTGATAACTGCTTTTTTCCCTTTAACTTGAGAGAGAGAAGAAGAAAGAGATTGATTGATTGATTGTTTGACTGATGGATTGATTGAAGTGGGGTGGGGGAAGAGAGTGAGAGCATATTCTCTCCTGCTAGTTTAGTTCTAGAATATCAGCAGTGGCTGAGACTGTACCAGCAGCGGCTGGGAATTCAATCTAGGTTTCTCGTGGGGTGACAGAAACCTAAATACTTGAGTCATCACCACTGCCTCCTAGAATCTGCCTTAGTGGGAAGCTGGAGTCAAGAGTTGGAGCTGTGTATCCAGCCCAGGTGTTCAATATGGGATACACGAATCTTAACAGACATCTTGGCCACCAAACTAAACACTTGTTCCTGATAGCTTCTGAACATTTCTGTGTCAACTTTGCAGAATATTTGGATTTATGCTTCTTAATGTCAAAAGTGTACTCCAAAACCATCGTAACACTTAGAAGTTTTTGTTTTGTTTTTAAGATTTGGTTTTATTTTTTGAAAGACTTGCAGAGAGGTCAGGAGAGAAAGAATCTTCCATCTCCTGGTTTACTTCCCAAATGGCCACAATGGGTGCAAGGATCCAAGTATTTTGGGCATCTTCTGCTGCTTTCCCAGGCGCATTAGGAGAGAGCTGGATCGAAGTAGAGCAGCTGGGACATGAACCAGCACCCAATGTGGAATGAAAGCACCGCAGGTTGCATCTTCACTTTCTGTGTCACACCACTGGCTCCCACACTTAGGAACCTGATTTACTGAAACTTTATAAATTATAATTAGGTTGGCTACATATATCAGAAAATGTAAAATAACAGTAACTTTACAAGATATATTTCTCATGTAAAAACTATCTAGGTACAGGTACATGGCCAGTATGGGAACTCCATGGTCCTAACTATGCTGCCAATTCTATTGTCTCTGTGTTTGAATTCTAGCTTCAAGATTGTATGTTTAGTGGTTCAGTGTGATTGTTAAAGCTTCCCCTTTGACATCCCATTCCAGGAAAGTGAAAAGTGAAAATAAAGACCAGTTTTTGCTTTCTTAAAATGACATCTCAGAAGTAACAGACAACATTTCCACTTACTTATCTTTGACAGTTGTCATGTTGCCCCAGATGACTACAAAGGAGACTTATAAATGTCCTTTAGCTGATGTACTGCTATCTGAAGTAGAGTTTGCTACTGACGAGGAAGTGGTGAATGGATGCTGTGATAAGCAGCTAGCCATTTCTGCTGCTGTAACATTCTAGCTGTTTCCATTTGTTCTGTGCAGGGTGTGGGGCAGTCTCTGCTTCCCTGAATAATCATTGTACCAGTGCTTTCATTAATTACTTAGAAACAAGCCATTTACTTAAATGTTGAGGTAATTTTAGTGACTAAACATCAACTTCTGGAAAGATACTAGGTGAAGTAGAAATTTGGAATGGCAATTGATCAGACTGAAAGATCTGGCTGCTCTTGTTTCTTCCTTTCAGAGAGTGGATCATCTTCTGAAACAGGATTGTCTCACAGAGGCCTTGGCTCTTGCATGGTCTTTCCATGAGGGGAAAGCAAAAGCAGTAGTAGGTAAGCAGACAGATTCCTGGCATGGCACACAGTGTCTTTTCTAGAGTAGAAGGAATGAATCATTCTGTCCACGCATCGGAGATTTTAACAGAGTAGTCAAATGTTGCATAAGTGAGAAATTATTAAACGTCACAGACCTCAGTACTGAAGGCTAGTGACCAATAAAGGGTATGAAAACGTCATTTTAAAGATTCTTTCATAAAGAAAATTTACTGTGGGAACAACAAGCAAGTAGATTGATAACTTGCCTGGGCCAGCAAATAGGCGTTCCTGTCATGGCATATTATCCAGCATTTTGCTTTTCCAAATCTCTTGTCAGCACAGGGTTCGAGAAGATGAGAATAGCTGCACTCCTGGAGGGGAGGAGTCACATTAGTTTCATGTTGGGTTTTGCTTCTCTGCAGGATTATCGGGAGATGCCAGCAAGCGAAAGGCTGTTGTGGCAGATCGGGTAAGTATTTCGATAGGATCTTTACTTCAGGACACTACAGTTTTGCCATTGGCATTTGCTGGTATCTTTGAATGTGTTTGGATAAGTGACTGAAATCAAGGAGAGAGTGTCAGAAAACAAGCCAGGTTGTTCCCTGATGTCACATTTAATGCTTTCAGGGTTTCTTACCACCTTCTTCCCCTGCCCCCTTGCCCACTGTCTTAAACATGCTCAAATAGTAAAAAGAGACATCACAAAGGAGAATGCTATTTTTTTTACTTAATTACAGCTCACAGAAAGTTGATGTTTTAGTTTTTAAGAACCTATTAATAATTATGAAAGACATTCTACAGTATGTGCAAATGTTTGTGTTGCCTGGCTATAGCAAAAAAGCCCAGTGCTTTAGTATTAATATAAGTATTAATACTAAAAATAATACTATATATAATATAAATGTTTATATTAATGTAAGTATTAATATAAATCAACATTCATGTAATTAGTTTAATGCTTGCTATTATCCTTTTATTTTTGACATAGGTCTAGATAAATTTTTTTACTAGAGAGTCCCCCCTCATTCTGTATTTACAAAGATGTATTTGTTTATTTATTTGAAAGACAGAGAAGAAAAGGGAACTCTATATGCTGGCTCACTCCCCAAAGGGCCACAGCAGCTGAGGCTAGGCAGGCCGAAGCCAGGAGCCTGGAACTCCACCAGGGTTCCCCAGGGGGGTGGGTGGTAGGAGCCCAGGCACTTGGAACGTGTGCTGCTGCCTTCTCAGCCACACTAGCAGGGAGCTCACTTGGAAATGGAGCAGCCAGGACTCAAACTGGCATTCATACGGCATACAGGCATCATAATTTACATCACAACGCCTGCCCCAGATCCACCTCCTCTATTTTTTTTTTAATATAGATGTATTTGTAAAAAAATATATATATATTCTGAATTAGTAGAAACATTTAGAAAACCTGAATGGAAATGATTATTGCTGATGCTCGTGAGTGATTTGTTTATGTGTCCTCTTTGGGGAAAAATTCCTGTAGTAGAGGATTACTGAGGAGCTTAGCTGCAGTTTCTCATTTCCTGAGCAAAATAGGTATTACTGAGGTCTAGGATATGGAGATATGTTTTAGCAAAGCTGAGCAAATTGGTACTGCCCTGTGGCTGACAGAAATTAGACCAGGTTTTTTTTTTTTTTTTTAAGCTGAGGAATAATGAAATTACATTTTAAATTAAATTTTTAATATGATAGCAAAACCCAATTCCATATTCTTTAGGAGGATTACATATATTAACTTTTGAAAAACTTTAGAGATGGCCATATATCTTAGTTTCTATGTGAGACTGCTTCTCTTGCAGATGGTGGAAATCCTGTTCCATTATGCAGATCGAGCGCTGAAGAAGTGCCCAGACCAGGGGAAAATCCAAGTGATGGAACAGCATTTTCAGGTACTCCTTTGCATGGGCTCCTGGTAGGCCATGCTTTCGATAGCTCTTATGTTCCTCATTTCTGTTACTTGAGATTTTGAATTCTTAACCACTTGCGCCACCGTGCTGGGCTTTGCATTTTTTGATTATTCAGAGCTTAATTTCAGGGCTTGTAGAATGTTCTTAATGATTAGAGTTTTAAAGTAATGGTTTCACAGTTAAATGGGAACAGATGAGTATAATGTCATGAAGCATTACCTTGCTCTTGCCTGTTTAGTCCTTTGTGGAAGGACAGGATATGTGTGTGTGTGTGTGTGTGTGTGTGTGTGTGTGTGTGTGTGTGTGTGTGTGCGCACACCTGTAAAATGACACCTTATGGTGGCTGACATCTTGCTGATGACTGACATTTATGTTGGCTGGGTTACTTAGAGAAGAGGTGTATTTCCAATGTTTAAATTTAGTTCACCTTGAAGCACCTGTGACTCAAGAATAGATCAGTTATATAAAAAAAAAGATGCATAGAATATGCTCATGAAAGACCTTTCCTTTTCCTTATAACTTTGTGAGAATGAAAGCCAAGGGCTGATTTATTATGTGAGTTTACTGTTTGCTGTGACCTCTGGTTATATTCTTCTCTTTCCCTTCCTTATAGTTACTTCCTATTCCCCTACTGCCTTTTTTTTTTTTAACAAGTATTTGAGTGTCTAACACAGGGATCAACAAACTTTTTCTCAAAGAACCAGATGGTGAGATTTAGGCTTAATGGACTGCAAATAGTCTGTTATTCTTTGCTTTGTTTTCTTCCCCACTGCTTCTCTCCTTCTCCCATGACATTTTCTTCTTAAAATTGCAAAATTCATTCTTACTTGTGAATCGTAAAGAAACAGACCATGGCCAAGGTTATGGTCTAAAGTGTGCATTCTCTGATCTAACATATACTGGGCACCAAGCAGTAATGGGTAAAATAGATACAATCTTTGCTATTTTGAAGTTTGCAGTCTGTTTTATGTTCATATTAATAGAAATATTTAGGAGAAATTTAGGGCTTCTGAAGTTCTGACGAGCAGACGTGAATCCTGTCTTTTCATAGCTTTATGCAACGCTCATAACTTTGGAAGATAAGCATAGATAAGGTGGCTACGAGTTGGATGGTATCAGAGGAGCTGTGCTGTTTGATGCTGAACTAGTGAGCTTCTCGTGGTGTCACTTTCATGACTCACTGGCAGCAGGTTTGTAAAATCTATCACTAAAGAAGACATGAGCCAAGACAAAAGTATGAGGATAAGCAACTTGGGGTGGGGAGAGCATAAGGCAGAAAGAAAGCATTTGAGAAGGTATTCTGGAATAAAACTCCAGGGAACAGGTTGTATATTACTTGTGTATCAAGAAAACTTAATATTTTAACAGGAACATACCCTATCATCAAGAAATAGAAGGATGATATTCATGAAAGAATTCTAGACATTAGAAGGTATTCTTGGTTTTAAAAAAAAAATCCAGTAGGGAAAGCTAGGAGGGAAAGATGGAGTACCATACATATAAACCCAGAGTGGGGGGAGAGACAGAGAGGGAGAAGGGAGGGAAGAGAAATATAGAAACCATCACACTGGGGGAAAAGATAAGAGAGGGTTCCTTTCTAAAAGAATATAATTGAAATGATATTGTTTTTTTAGGTTGGTATTATAACATTTATTAAAATAATTCTGTGAGTTAATAGAAACAACAAGGAACCAGAGAATTAAAATGCAAGCCATTAAAACCCGAGAAAAACCCAAAAGTGTCTTAATATTTTCATTCATTAGCTAATTAAAAGGTCAAGAAAAACAAGACATCCCACATAATAAAGTAGTACAAAAACAACTGGCTATTTTCAGTTCTCAAAATTGTGGATTTTGGATTTTGTTTCCTTTTCTCAATCAAGAAAAATATTCTCTTTTCAATATTGTATAACATACATATAAAACAAGATAGAACATACATTATAAACTTATAACAGTGGTTGTAAATACATTATTTTGCATGTTTCTCATAGGCAACAGGTTAGTTATGGTACATATAGAATGAAACTACTAAGATAATAAAGAATAGATAAAACTACATTTCAGCTGTATGGCAACAGTCAAGTGACACTCCCATCTACCCACACTAAAAAATTACATAATGGTGACAGAAAAAATGTCTTAAAAACTACATATTTTAATCAGAAATAAAAGAATAAAACTGAGGACTAAAGCATTCAGATATATGCTTTTTTCTGTTGATTGAAAATTTTGTCAACTAGATTTTCAAAAGTTTGTACAAAACCAGCTTTACTTGTAAATGTCACACATTCCTTCCTTCCTTCTTTCCCCTCAAATGATGTTCTGATGGAGAAGTCGTGTGAAGAATTTCAGGATGGCAGCAGCTGTCCCTGATGGTCCCCATACGGCTTACAGAGCTAGAGTGAAACTATTGAAATAATAGGACCTGAACATCTGGATACCTGTTAGTAGCTTCATTCTTCTGAAATTATCTTCAGATAAAATTTTTGATTCATTAGTGAATTAGTATCATAGTAGGTAAAGCAAACAATGGAGGGAGCTATTATTCTGGATAAAATTTTTGCCAATGACTGGAGAAGCGGGGGATTATATTAGCAGTGGCATACTGAGCATGAATGTCTGCAAATCATTGATGATGTACAAATACTGAGAAAGGCATGCAAGAAAAAGTGTGTGCCAGGAGGATCATGTACGCAGAAGACTGTCAGAAAGAAATGCTGTTATCCAGATTGTGCCTACTGAAGTACTAAGTGGTACAAAAAGGGTTTTTTTTTTAATTTATTTTTTATTATTTTTTATTGGAAAGGCGGATATACAGAGAGGAGAGACAGAGAGGAAGATCTTCCGTCCGATGATTCACTCCCCAAGTGAGCGCAACGGTCGATGCTATGCCGATCCGAAGCCAGGAGCCTCTTCCTGGTCTCCCAGTCTCCCACGCGGGTACAGGGTCCCAAAGCTTTGGGCTGTCCTCAACTGCTTTCCTGGGCCACAGGCAGGGAGCTGGAAGGGAAGCGGGGCTGCCGGGATAGAACCAGCGCCCATATGGGATCCCGGGCGTGCAAGGCAAGGACCTTAACCACTGCGCCATCGCGCCAGGCCCTCCAAAAAGGGGTTTTAAACAAGGATTCACAGAGCATAGGCTATCCTCATATGTGCCAAGTAAAGTGTGAGCAGGAACATTCATTTCCATTTAGTTCTCACAGCAGTCCCCTGAAGGATTTTTAGACGAAGAAGCTTAGAAGAGAATAACCGACTTCCCCAGGTAGCACTGCTGGGGAGCACTCAAGCCAAGACTCAAATAGAAGTCTGCTGGCTTCAAAGCCCACCTCTTACCTGACCATTATTCATGCTGTTATTGTCAAGAGCTAGTGCAGGGAAAAGATGAGTGATCAAGAATGTACATGTTAGCTCATCTGATTTTTATCCTAACTCTATAAGGTTGGTACTCTTACTAATCAAATTCAAAAATGAAGTCAAGATGCATAGAAGTTGAATAACTTGTTCTAGGTCGTCTAGCTAGTTATGAAGTCTGGCCTGTGTGACTTACAGTTGCATTGGGATTGTACACTTGGGAAGACTGGATTTGTGGCAAGATAGTGCTGAGATTTTATCTTTCACCAGCAGGTGGCACTCATGCCCGCTGCCTCTTTTATTCCCTGCCTTTGGTGCAGAGCTTCAGCTTTCCTAGAAGCCAGGTAGAGTGTGACCTAGAAAAGTGATCCTTTTCCCTCTGCCCCTGCCAGGATCAAGTGATATTTTATCCTGTTTTTGGAATAGAAGATTGATAGCTCTTGGACCTTGGGATGTTTTGACTGGCTGATTGGAATGTATAATTGCAGCTTGTTTGTATCATAACCAGCAGTACAGAAAGGAATGGCAGTGCTCTCATATACCTGGTGACCCACCTCTTCTGGCTTTGCCTCTCCACATTTGTTAGTGTCCGGTTATCTCCCATCCTAAACAAAGGCAAACTGCAGACAGATCCGCTCGCTGCCGCCTCCTTCCCAGTCTCACCTCCCTCTTGTTTGTACGTTCTTTCTAGAACCAAACGCCTTGCAGCTGGTCTGTCTCTTTCTGTTCCCTGTCATCCTTCAGCTCGCCATTTCTCAACAACACTGCACACACTGGCAACTTTGTGAAACTGCCTTTCCCTCCGGCTTTTCTAGTCAGTAGCAATTATTCACTTTTATTGTTTAAAAGCATTCATGTATTGATTTTGAGAGGGAGAGAGAGTATCTCTGCTGATTCGTTCTCCAGATGTCCATAGCGGGTAGGCCCGAGCCAGGCTGTAGACCTAAGCACTGGGCCATTCCCTAGCTCTACCCCAGGATATTAGCAGGGAGCTGGATTGGTAGTGGAGCTCCTAGAATTGAGCCTGTGCTTGGGTAACAGGTGCCAGCATCACAAGTGGTGGCCTAGCCTGCTGCACCACAACATGGACCCCTCCAGTTTTTCCTCTACGTTTCTGGCTGCTCACTGGTTTCCTTTTGTTCATTCTTCCTTCTCCACTACTCAACCAACACGTATTTTAATTCTTCACAACAGTGCTGTTTGTATGTCAGCAGTCTTAACATATCTGTGTGCTAATTCAAAATCATTGTAAAATATTTGGTTTTGGTTAAAATTTTGGTTAAAAATTACTTTAATTTTACTTTATTTCCCTGGACTGCTGAATCCAGACTCTTGGGGATTGGGTTTTAATTGGTCCCTCAGATGACTCTGGACCACATTCATGATAAGAGTCATTGTTTTATATTCTCTCCATCCAAACCGTGTCTCCAGCTGGATTGCCCTTCTGAGTTCCCATTGACATTTCTGAACAGATCATGCCATCTGTTCTGCTCCTGTCCCAGTCCACATGACCCGACTCCCTTGTGAATATGGTTGATCTTCTTGTGCATAGTCAGAATGTACCTCATAGCATTGTCTGTGCACTAGCCAGAGAGAAGCGTATATCATGCATAGATAATAATGTTCCCA